CCGTGATCTACTAGTTTAGTACCTGTCAAAAAAAAAAAAAAGAAAAGAAATAAGGTTATTCCAGTATGTCCTCAAGGAAACTGTAATCTTGGAAGTTGTGACTGTTGAATGACAAAACCAAAAAGGTGATGTGGTCTGCATGTAGTTAGGAATTCAGAAAGACACAAATGACGAGGGATAATATTCTCAATACGGTGGACAGCCTGTGTAGAAGCAGTCCAGTCTGGAGAGGACAATTTGAAAGTCTGCCAGAGTTGGCTGGATCCAAATTGGGAAGGGTTTGAAATGCCAAACAGGAATTAGTAGGTAATGAGGAGCCATGGAAGCATTGTGAATGAGGGCATGACGTGTAGCATAGTGGAAAGTGCTGGATTAAGAGTCAAGAGACCTTCATTTCGTTCCAGCCTCAGATGCCTAATGTCCTGGGACCCTGGGCCGACTTGTGAGGATACAGTGAGATATTATTCCTAAAGTGTAAATGTGAGCTGCTGTTAATAGTATTATGATTATTATTATTACTGGAGTATGAATGGGGAGAAGGAACTGTAGCCAGGCTGCAGTTTATATGTGCTTATTTATGTGAAGTCATGGATCTAAATGTAAATCAGAATGACTGCACTCAGTATGCTAGTGGTTTGAGGATCCTTAGAATTCATGCACAGCCCTTCAGAGGTCCAGGAACCCTCAGTGGGAATCACTGACTTAGAAGTCCTTCAGCATGGTGAGGACAGGTCCACCTGGAGGAGGATTCATGGGAGGATGTAGGCAATATGACACAGGATGAAGATGGATGGATGGGTTGGGACCGGTCCAGGTAGGGGAAGCCATGTCCTTGAAATAAAAGAGGGGAGCTAATGAAAGAGCCTCGGGTTCCACATGAGGCAGCAGTTCAGCGGGGGGGGGGTGCAGTCTCTGAGCTTAGACCAGTGACTGTGCCTATTTTATTTTAGAGGGAAGGATTGTATTCTTACCGCAAGATCACTCAACCAAGGCAATACCTCAGATTACAGATGGTGCCTGTGACTTGATGTAACTGAAAGTATATGCAGCTATAGTTAGTTATTAAGCCAAAAGGATGAGGTCACCTCTGGAAAGATCATTCCCAGGGGGCTGCACCCATCAGGCTAGTCAGGCTAGTCAGGCAAGTGGCTCCCTCAGTTTTTACAGGATGCTTTCTTTCCACCAGGCCGCTCCTTCCTTTGCTCCAGGCGAGGTCACCAGAGGTGGGGAACTTGTGGTCCTCTAGATCCTCAAGCGTGGCCCTTTGGCTGAATCCAAACTTCACTAAATAAAGGATCCCAAACAGAATTCTTTATCTTTGAATGAAGGCTAATGCATCTATTGAGGCTGGAAACACAAATACAAAAGTGAAGACAGTCTCAGTGTTCCAGGAACTTAAACACTAGTAGAAGACAAGGCGTAAAGAGGAGTGATGATCAAGGACGGGTGCTTTGGTTTGGAATGGCAAGTGGGAGCTACGGAAGATTAGATTAAAATACCTTCCTTTTTCAGGAGCACAATTGATTTGATCATTGTTGGGGGTGGGGAGGACGGGGCACTGGGAACAAAGGGAATTTGGTAAGAAGATGGCTAGGGAGTAGGGGTCAGGCAAAGCATGATTGGGGCCACTTGAATAGGGGCTTGGTGAGGCTTTCCCTGGTCATAGTGGGGACTAGTGGCGAGAGGACCCTGGGGAAAGGGTGAAGCCCTGCAGAAATTCTGTTTCCTTTATGTTTCCCCCCTCACTGAGGAGTTTTAAGTGGGACCTCTCTATTTTAGGTGTTTCCAAACCCATGGATGAAGCTAAAAAAATGAAGGGATAGAGAATTTTGACCAGTCAGCCATCCTCTTTCAGCTTTAATCTCTTTGCTGGGAATATTCTTAGGCTTGTGTTCCACTACAAGAACATGCCTCTGATATGTGCCTGGCAATGCTTGATTCCTCATCAGTCAACTACTCGCTTAACTGCTTACGGTCTCTTCTCTGTCTCTGTGTCCCTCCAAGCTCAGTCACCTCCTGATTTGATAACCTTGTCTCAGTTTTCATTTTCCAGCCACCCTCTTCTTGCAGAAAAATCCTCCCGTGCCTCTCCAGCCCGTAACTCTGACTTGATGCCTTCTCTCCCCCTTTGCTAGCTCCACTTGCTTCCCCACCTCCCTCATCTTGGGGATTCCTCAAGGTCTCACTCATACCGTCTATTCTGTTTCCAGTGGTTCTCTCGGGGTTTAATCTACTTCCATTGCCCTGGATGTCACCTCGACACACGTGACTCCCAAATCTGTGTCTCTCGCCCCACACTCTCCTAAACTTCACTCCTTCGTTTCTGAGTGCCTGATCCACATTTTTCCCTGAATTTCCTACCAACACCTTACATTGTCTGCATCTGAAACTGCACTCGTCTCGTCTCCCGTTCTGCCAAATTAGCTCTTCCTCCTAACTTCCTTGTTTCTAACCCTTTTACCACCGTTGTCCTGGCCACCCAGCCTGAAAACGCTGGCTCTTTGCCTCAGCCCGTCTGTAACATCCTTCACTTCCCTCACCTTAGGTGGTGATTTGGGCTTTGAAATCTCTTGTATCCGTTTCTTTTCTTTCTGTAGCTGTGCCCCGCATGTGTAGTGAACTCTTGACACTTAATTGCATGTGTAACCTTTGTTGGACCAGACGGTCTGTATGCTGTACCTTCCAGCTCTGAGTGAATCCTATGAGTTCTGACCTCATTCAGGTCTTCGTTACCGCGAGACGATTACAATAGCCCTCACTAGTTTTCTTGCCTCCACATCCCTGCTTCCGAGCCTTCCTAGCCCCTGCCGCTTGGTGCCCTTCCTGAAACCCTTCTGATCACCTCACTCTTCTGTTCAGATGCTGTCACTGGCTCCCTCATGCAAGATCCTTTGTGCTTCAGCTCCTGCCCACCTCTTCAGAGTTCTCTGCTTCTGCTCTTTTACAGAGACAGCACCCTGTATTCTGAACTCGTCCAGAGTCACACAGCTAGTAAGTGTCTGAGCCTGGATCTGAATTCGGGTCTTCCTGACTGCAGGCCCGGCACTCTGTCTGCTGGATACCTACTGATAGTCTACTGATATTTCAAGGAGAGGCTGAGGGTTGTGTCCTTCTTTGATCACCTTAGCAGTGAGCAATTGCTCGCTTAGAATAATTACTTCTCTGTGGTCTTTTTTCTTCTACTAGGTTATCAGGGCCTTGAGGGCAGAGACTTTTTGCCACATTGTAGATACCCTTAATAGAGAGTCTTATACATCATAACATTTCTCTAATCAAGTAATTTTAAAATTCTATGTAATTTTGGTTAAGAAACACCATGGTACTGTGGTTTAGTTCTATCTCAGACCATTGCATTCTTCCCATCTGAATTTTTCCTCTTAGTTTCAATTAGTTACCAGGCTCATCTTTATTTCCCATTATAGAACATAGCTACCAACTTTTGAACAATTGCCACATTTGAATATTGCATTAAATGATTTTTCTCTGTGGGAGCATATGTGAGCATGAGCTTGTAAAATTCTTTGGCCACCTTTTTGGTGCCAGGCACTGGGCAGGTGTGAGTTGGTAGAGGTGCTGTTTTGTAGTAAAGACTGTCTAATAAACTTTGTGCCTGGTCATTGGGGATAGCGGGGTTGCTTGCCAGCCAGGCCTTGAGGAATCTGCACAGATTCCAGGGAATCTAATTTTATGGGATGTGTGGAAATCACAGCTTCCTAATTTCTGTTCTTTCTGTAAATGCAACTCCTTAATATTTTGAGAGAAGATAATTTCCCTTGGGAGCCCTTTAAAATCAGTGCTTACCAACTGTCTCCCAACAAAGTGCTACCCTCTCAGGATGCTACCACCAGGGTAGTGCAAATGTCTTCATTTTTTACAGAAAAGGAAACTGAAGCTGAGACAGATTAAATAATCTGTGCTGCCAGAGCCAAAATTTGAACCCAGACCCCCAAACCTCTGCTTCAAGTTAGTCACGCTTTGTCCTTTGCCCTATCACCACTTTATATGTGCACATACATGTGGGCGTAGATGACTTGTCCCAAGCAGAAACCTCCAAAGGCTTGTATTCTTGGGAAAACCGTAGCCGCCACATTCAGCTTTCCTTCTGCCATGTGAGAACTTTCCAATATCCCCTGATACAAGTCCTTAGTATCCAGGACTGAACTGAACCAGTCTCTACAAAGGCCTATACACACACAGTGTAAATAGCAGTGGATTTGTAGTAGTGTGATTATTCCCTTCTCTGGGAACCGAAGGGCCCTTGTTTCCATTACAGTTCTTTTGTGTTGTCCCAGCCTTCCCATTGAACATATCTAGATTTCATCTTTCAAAATTTTTGAAACCCTTCTCTAGTTGGTTTGCTGTTTGCCCCAGGCCTTGCCCATCATACCTCTGTAGCTCCACACAGTCACTACAAGTCTTGGGCGGAAGGCCATAGAGATACTTCTTATTTGACTTTGACCTCACCAGAATGTTTGATCCGCCAGAAGCTTATGTTCACTCAACATATGGGATAATATAGCATATTTTCTATATTTCTAGGAAATTTTGATACTGTGCCCTTGTCAAGAAGAATACACTAACAGGTCATCTTATCCTCCATGCACTAAGTTGATGTGTTATGTGATAGCTAATCATTTTGTAGAGAGAGAGAGAGAGAGAGTGGACAATGGGCCTGGACAGTGCAGTGGTTTCTTTTACTTAACTGTACTTCTTTGACCCAAATGGCCTCTGTTGGAGGGAAGGTGTCTTGGGAGGGCGTTGCCTTGCTGAAAAAGATTATCAAGAAAACACTGTTTAAAGGATGGCTTTATTACTCCCTAAAGGAAATTTTTGCTTCCAGTCCTTTCCCCTTTCGCCTGCTTTAGTTAACTAAAGACCTCCATTTCTACCCTGCCACTTTCCTGAGCCGACATTGAGTATAGAGCAATTTCCCTATGTGATTTGACAGAGCTAATGTCCAGACATTGGTGTCATGCTGCATTCGGTGTTATATGTTTCAGATTTGTGTATGCAATGGACACTGATCTCAGTTCCCAGGACAGGAAGGACCTGGACAAGTTCATCAAATTTTTCGCCCTGAAGGTTAGTAATATGTTCTTGATTCATTTGTCCCTAGAACTGTTAGAAATAACTTCCATGCTTTTTTCTCCAGTCTTTTGAAACATACCATGCATGACAGCTTGCAGCTTGCCTGTTTGAGGGGGTAACTGGTATAAGTTCTGTCTCTTGTAAACCAAACTGTGAAGGCCTGGGGGCGGTGGAGGGGGTGTAGCTAGGAAGTAGCTTCCAATTTTCCAGTGGGGGCTGGGGTTGGGGGCAGACCACAAGGCCGTTTGTCAGCAGAAATGTCAGGCTATAAAGCCACATTTCTTGGCACAGCGTGTTCCCGTGGGGTGGGAGGTAACGCAAGTGTTGAGTAGTAACCATGAACATCTTTTAGGCATCTTCCCTTAAGCATATACTCCCCCTGACATTCCCATTTTTTTTACTTTTTATAACTTCCTGGCCAATGGGGTTTTTTAAACTAAATGTTGAAAGCTGTGCAAAGTGTTTTCCTAACTCTTATGTGAAGTTCCCTCATTATTGCTGTGCTCAACCAATCCAGACACAAAATCTGGTTCTGAAATAGTTTGGGAGCCTTTTGCCATCTGGTTATGCCTGTGTGACTGTGTAGTGCTTTCTGGTTCAAGCCTGCATGAGTTCATGGCAGTGCATATTCACATCCACAATTGAGCTTGTATTCATGGGAAAAACATAGCCGCTACATTCAGCTTTCCTTCTGCCATGTGAGAACTTCACTTATGTCATACTGGCAAACTACAGGCATTTCCACTGGCTGGCATTGGATCTCCAAGAGGTTGTACAGTATTTTTTTCTTAGGCAGGTCAGCATTCTCTCCCCTTCTGTCCTTAGGCCTTCTAAACTCTAGGAATCCCTTTCTTGTAGCATAGTCTGGTTGCATTGATAGCCTATCCTACTAACACCTCAGTGTTTATCAGGAGCCATGTTGTTGCGTAAAGTCCTTTAAAATCAAGCCTTTGGGGTTTTTATTTGTCTCTGCAGACAGTCCAAGTGATAGTCCAGGCCCGGCTTGGAGAGAAGATTTGTACTCGCTCGTCATCCTCCCCAACAGGATCTGACTGGGTAAAACTTTATTTTTTGTGGGATTATACGTTCTCTCTTCACACAAAAAGTGGGTTGAAAGTGTTCTTCAGTATAGGTGCTCTGCAGTTTAGTAAGCCAGGATTTGGGGCCACTGACTAGACAAAGCAAGCCTGCTCTCCACTCTCATGCTCTCCTCTTAGGTTTGGCTCTTGGCTTCTTGCAGCCAAGACAAAGGAGGTTTGGAGGAGGAGAGCCATATGTTGGGTTTAAAGACAGTTCACATCCTGGCTCATCCAACTGCACACTTGGAGCTCCATCAAACACTCCTTTATGAAGAAAGGGGGGTGTTAGTGAGGGTTTCCACTTACTGCAAGTAGAAAATGTCTTCTCCCTAACAATAGCAAGGCCTTCCTTGAAGTGAAACGTATTTGACGTGCCTATAATGCTCCTCCAGGCAAGAGCCCCTGTAGGTTTTAACAAGAAAAATGATGCTATTCTTTTTGCAGTTCAACTTGGCCATCAAGGATATCCCAGAGGTCACCCATGAGGCCAAGAAGGCACTGGCAGGGCAGCTGCCCGCTGTGGGGAGGTCCATGTGCGTGGAAATCTCACTCAAGACTTCGGAGGTGACAAGGCAGCTGAGCTACAGATCCTCAGACCAGCTTGGGATGCTTGGGTCCTAAAGAAATCAGAGCTTCTTGACTTGTTTTCCACGGGGGTCTAGCTCAGTCTTCGTCCTCGTGGGTAAAGCAGAGTGCTGCACTTTGAAGGAGGATGACCTGAGTTTACATCAGACACTAGACTAGCAGGGTTACCCTGGGCAAGTCGATGTGACAGCCCCCGCTTCCCAGATCAAATGTGATCGTGTGTCTGCAGTACCGCCCTTCAAGCTCTGCAGAGTGCTGTCACCTTGATTCATTGTTGTCATAGTTATCATTCTCATTAATGTTGTTGTGTCTCTCCTTCTGGGGAGACGGGGAAAAAGCTGTGTTCGGCCAGGTACACCAGCGTCTTTTGGATCTCGGGACAAAGCTTTTCTTTTTATCTTGGATCCTAAGAGAATGCCCAGTAACCAGTCACCACTGGACTCATTAAGAAAGCTCCCCATTTTTAAAATGAAGGCATGAGAAGTTTGCACTTCATCTAGAGCTAATGCTAGTCTTCTACACACTTGCCTAATCCAGGCTCACTCCTGAACCTGAGCATTTCTGTCCTTGTTTCTCGTTGGTTTCCCTTAAAAAAAAAAAAAAAAAGGTTTGCTTATATTTAGATTTATGTATCTCTCCTCCTTACTTAGTGGCAAACAGAACTCTTGATATTAGTGGGATTGAAGGGCTGTCGCCTCAGTCTTTACCCCCTTCTCCTTCATACCCATTGGGTCCAAGTCTTATCTCTAGGCCGGTTGTCTGGGGGGGGGTGGATGTATGTGTGTGGGAGCACCCCTATCACGAGTCTCTAGAGTTAGCACAGTTCTTCAGGTGACCAGAAGAGTGATTGGTATTCTCCATTCCTTATTTACAGGGAGATTCCATGGAACTAGAAATTTGGTGTCTTGAAATGAATGAAAAGTAAGTGGTGTTTCCCGATTCAGGAGTCTTGGGGGTTGTGTGACAGAGCACATCGTACTGAAGAGAGATCAGAGCTTGTAGCCCCTCACACGCCAGGCTGGATTGAGACAGGGCCTGCTAGGGAGACTTCTTTTCAAAAGAGAAAAAGGGGGGAAAGAGGTTTTGTTTGCCCCGAAAACAAGTAATATTTTGGCAAAATCCCTTGGGGGCTCTTACTTCCCGAGTACTTCTTTTGCCTGTTCTTTGTGTGACAAACCTCCAGGAAGATTTCCATATGACCATCCTGTTAAAACAGGTGTGTGAGATCCAAGGATTTTCCTCTTTGTTTTTTTGTTCTTCAGAAGTTGGCCAGTCAAGTTCCTGTCTAAAACTTTAAAGAAAAAATGTACAGAGAAATTAAAGAAATATTAAGTATAAACCAATTTCATCAATATATATGAGTTACATATGGGTTTATTTTATAGTAGAAAACTGTCATCACATTGAGGTTATAAATTAAACTCCCGCAAGCAGACTGGTCTCCTGCAGTTTACCTGTTCAGTCCAGGCAGCTCTGATATTCCTCTCAGTGAGATAGAAGTAGTGCGTGAGGTTTGCATCTCTGTTCTGTACAATTATATGTAGGAATCACTGCTTCTAAAGATTGTATGGGGTGGGGGAGGATAACTGCTTCAGAATTAGTGGATGGGGGCAGCAGCTAGGTGGCCCATTGGATAGAGCACTGGCCATAAAATCAGGGGACCTGAGTTCAAATCCGGCCTCAGACCAGACACCTCACACTTACTAGCTGTGTGACCCTGGACAATTCACTTAACCCCAATTGCCTAAAAACAAAAAAAGAGAATTAGTGGATGGGTTAGAGGAAGCACCTTCTGCTTCTTCACTTCTCTTACCAGCCACGCCTGGTACATTGATCAGTAGGTTAAGAGGAGAGAGCTCTGTTGATTCCTTCTTTAGGAATGTGTTAGCATTAGCTGTTTGTAGCATTTGGTTCTCCAACTGCCACTGGGTGTGAGGCTGAAAAAGTTGCCTTCAAATAAAAAGTGGATTCAGATCAGCTTAATCAGCTGGGGAAAGGGGAAAGAATAGGGTGGTGCAGAGAGGAGGGGGTGACAGGGGAGGTGAACTTGGGAACATTCCCAAGTCCATCTCGCCCCCTTCCCCCACAACTGTTTAACGGGTCTCCTTGCAGAGCCAGCTTTCCCCTGGATGTAACAGGAACAAACTAACACCTTCTCATGCTCCTGTCCAGGTGCGACAAGGAAATTAAGGTTTCCTACACTGTGTACAATAGACTGTCGCTACTGCTCAAGTCTCTGCTTGCTATCACTAGAGTGACACCAGCCTATCGACTCTCCAGGAAGCAGGGCCGTGAATATGTCATACTCTACAGGTAAAGGGGATTCCTCTCCACTCTGGTTCTCTAGCGGGAATGTGGTTCAGCTGGGCTTGGCCCAAACCAGCTTGCGTCTCCTGGCCCATGCAGCAGTAATAGCAGCTCTCGGTGCTCTTGCCCCTTCCTCCCCCAGGCCCACTTTGGTCAGACTCCTCTGTGCCAGCGTTCCTGGGTAGCCTGCTCCTCTGTGGCCCCACTCAACACCCTGTAACTTTCTGCATCAAAGGGTCTCTCCCTGGCCTGCATGCTCCTAGGTATATTCATTTTCCTCATTACAGCAGAAGATCCTTGGGGGCATGAACTATCTTTGCTTTTTCAGTTGTATCCAGCTTAGCTCAAATGTTGTGCACACAGTAAGTGCTTTTTCATTCACTCGAATTTCTTTCCTGTTTCATGCTTTACAAAGGTCTTTACTCATACCCTCCCACCCTGGGAGGGACATGTATAGCAAGTAATATTGTCCCTATTTTACAGATGAGGAAAGTTACATTCAGAAAGGGGAAGTGATTCAGGAAGGGGCCTTTAGCCACTCTGCTGGGGAATATCGGAGGCAAGACTGGAACCCTGCTCTGACTCCAAAGCCAGTGTTCTTTCTGCTGCGCCACATCACTATTACAGGCTTGATCCCTGGGGGTGGGCTTTTATACTAACAGACAAGTACCTCTGTGAATTATGGGGTTGGAAAGGACCTAAAAAGGTCATCTTGTCCACTTGCCTCCATTTTTTAAAAGAATGAATTTTTATTGATATCTTTTGTTTTTATGTCACCTACGTCTCCCATTGTTTTCCTCCTCTCACCCACTTCCAGAGAGCCAACCATCATAAGAAAAAATTTTTGAAAAGAAAAAAAAAAAGTTCAATATAACTAACCAACATATAGAAGAACTGCCATTATATGTGGTGTTCTGTACCCATGGTCCCCTTCTGCCAAGAAGCATATACAGGGAGAGGAACCTTCCCTGGAGGCAGGCCGAGCCATGATAATTTTATTGCATTTTGTTTTTATCGTGGTGGTGGTGCTCTTTATATTTCCATTATTGTAGTCGTTGTGTACATTGTTTTCAGTCTTCCAGGTTTTTCCATATTCATCGTTTCTTATAGCACAGGAATATTCCATTATTCTCACAGACCACAGCCATTCTCTCAGCCATTCCCCAGTCAGTATCCAGTTATTTGCTACTACAGCAAACATTTCCTGCCTCCATTTTTATCCCAAATAAATGATAGTTTTCTAGGAACCACCAGAAATTCCTAATTGGAGACAACTTGAAAACAGCCAGTCTAGACCAGAGGTGTTGAACGTGGGCAACGGCATTTCAAGTGCAGCCAGAGCCAGATTACAGTGCAACCGGGGAGTATTTAGTGAAATAAACAAAAATAAGGGAAAAGAAAGCTAGCGAGGTGGCCCGCAGGGATCCATGTGTACAGTTTAGTGGCCCCATTTCTCTTCGAGGTTGGCGCCCCTGGTGTAGACTGTAGCTTCCTGGCTTGTTGATGAAAGTACCAGAGAACTTAAATATCTCAATGTGTTCCGTCTCCTCCCTCTTCCACATGGCCTGCCACCCTGTGTGTCAGAGAAGGGAATGAAATGGTTATGGCACACCCGACTTTATTCCTCCTCAAGCTAGGTTGGCTGTTTTCTCATCCTCTTCAGCAGAGTTTGCTAATTTCACAGAACCTCCGAGGGCTTCCGCTGATACAGCCCATACTGGTGACATTAATTCTTTCTACAACATCCCAGGCTGGTGGGCTTCCTATAGCCTTGGGCCAGAGCCCTCCCATGAGAGAAAAGCCAGTACACCCAAGGGCAGTCCAGCCCACTTTTGAACAGCCTTCCTTATTAGCCAGTGCTCCTTGCTTTCTTTCTGGGGCCAAGCAGAACAATGTTAATACTTATTCCACAAGCCCTTCAAATACTTCAAGACTCTTTCTATCTCTCTTCTTTCACCTGCCAAGTCTTCTCTTCTGGTTAAACATCCCTAGCTCTTTCAGCTAATCCTTATGTGTCCTGGTTTTGAGGCCCTTTAACAGGCCTGGATATTTCTGACATATTCTTATATTTTCTTGAACCTGTGGTGTCTCATCTATAATGCTTCAGGCTGTTCCTTTCCTTGTTTTTTTATTTACCCAACCTTTTGGAGAGTGTGATCCCTATGAATTCTTTTTGTTCTCCCCCTCCAGAAAATTTTTTTAACATTCTTTTTCAAAATTTTGAGTTCCAAATTCTCTCCCTCCCTCCCCTCCCCCCTTATTGAGAAGGCAGGCAATTTGATATAGGTTATATGTGTGCAGTCACGTGACTAATATTTCCATATTAATCATGTTATGAAAGAAAATACAAACCAAGCTCCCCACACACACACACACACACACACACACACACGGAAAATAAAGATTAAAAAGTATGCTTTGCGGGGCAGCTAGGTGGCCGAGTGGATAGAACACTGGCCCTGGAGTCAGGAGGACCTGAGTTCAAATCCGGACTCAGACACTTGACACTTACTAGCTATGTGACCCTAGGCAAATCACTTAACCCCAATTGCCTCACCAAAAAAAAGAGGAAGAAAAATTATGCTTCAATCTGCATTCAGACTCCATCAGTTCTCTCTCTGGAGGTGGACAATATTTTTTTATCGTAAGTCCTTTGTAGTTGTCTTAGATCATTGTATTGCTGAGAAGAGCTAAGTCATTCACAGTTAATTATCATACAGTATTTCTGTCACTGTGTACAGCGTTCTCCTGGTTCTGCTCACTTTACTCTGCATCAGTTCATACAAATCTTCCCAGGGTTTTTCTGAGAGCATCCTGCTCGTCCTTTCTTATAGCACAGTAGTATTCCATCACAATCATATACCACTTGTTCAGTGAGTCCCTAATTGATGAGCATCCCCTTTTATGTGGTGGCAAATAATTGAAAATTGAGGGGATGCCTACAAATTCTTTTAAAAATAGTGCCTGGGCGGTCTATAAGAGAATCTGCCAGTTGCCTACAGAAGCGCGCCATTAATTCTGATGGACCAGAACACCTCCAGGTTTTTCTCCAATGTTATCTGCTTGCTAATCTGGATCCTTCTAAAATTCTTAATCAGAACTATACTCAAATTTATCTTTGCACTCTTAATGGAAAAAGGATTTGCAGAGTTAACACAGGATAGGAACACAATTGTCAGGAGAGATGCTTAATGGCTAGAAGAGAATAGACTCTTCATTATAATGAGGGAGATAGACCCACTACCTCTTTATGTGTTGCCAGCAACTAAGAATCATACCTGAGGGGAGAATGTGAACTGAAGAAACATGGGCCAGGCGATCAGCCAAGACTGAACCGTTTATTCATCTGAGGGTCACAGCATATATAGGAAAGAGTTTGAAGCTTCAAAGGATCCCTTGTGTGGGAAAACTATGCATATTCTGTAACTGTTACTGATAACTTTCAAGGTTCAGAGTGCGGTTAAAAAAATGCTTTCAGGACATACATCAAAGGAGCATACAATAAAAGTATCAAGAAAAGGATTACATCATTTTAAGCAAATGGTTACAAGATAGAGATTAACGGTCAATTAACAGGCCTTGACAATCATTCTCAGGGCTGTCTCAGGTTCTTATCTCAAAGTATGTGACTAGTCCTCCCTAGTTTGCCACATGTTATCCCTCATGCCAGATTTTTATGTGTCATGGTCGGGCAGTTCCAGGAGCCCCTTAATGAATAGGAGAGTGCTGAGCCAACATCCTGATTAAGTGAGCACTTGAAAGTAAGAACAGACAGGAATTAAATTCCAACCTGAATTCTTTAACCCTTTGCTGGACTGATCAGAGCTGGCCCTCTACATTTATGAGTATTTAGCTGTTCTGTATGTCCTTAAATAATTAAAAATCATTTCTTTTAAAATGTCCTGTGATTCAGACTTTTCCCTAATGTCAGCTTCCTAAGAGAATCAAAGAGGTTCTTACTAGGTTTTTCAAAGCTGAAAGTTCAGCTAGTTCTTCCAGATCAGAAATCTCATTGGATTGGAAAATCTCGTTTCCCAATTATGTGCTTGTCTTGTTTTTAAGGGGAGCAAAGTGTGAATGAATGATTTCTCTCGACAGCTCAAGCTAGTATCTTGTGGGAGAATCTTAACTCTCTGGGAGGGCTAGGTGTTTTTGGTTCTATGAGCAGCAAGTACATGATTTCAAGAAAGGAAAGAAGTTACCATGAGTTTTTGATCTTACTTCAGGGTTGCAATTATTTCATGACTAAGAATTGGGTGAGTTCACATCAAATACTCTAATCAGCTAAGTGCAGGGCATATAAAGAAAGGCAACACAGCCCTACCTCCAAGGAGCCACAAGGGTGGGCGTGGCAGACAGAGGAGGGTGGACAGCTGGTTGGCCAGGGAGGCACGAGGCTTAGCGATGTTGTCTTGGTGACGTGCTTCTCCTTAGATTGCTAAGACTAGTTTAACTGCGGCCCTCAGGACACCGTCCACTGAGGCTGAGCAAACCAGCTATGAACCCGCTCTTTTACTTATTACAGGCCAAAAATAAATCTGAATTCACAAAGCATTCCTTTGTCTCCTTGTCACAGGATATACTTTGGAGAAGTCCAGTTGAACGGCTTAGGAGAAGGTACTACTGTTCTGTCTGCACAGCCTACATGTTAGCAAGGCCTTTTCACTGTGTGTGGGGGGGGGGGGGACGGTGCTTCCCCTTACGAATGAGCCACCCACGGGTCTCCCCTCAGTAGGGATGACTCCTGAATGTGCTTCTTTCTGGCAGGGTGGTTTCTGGGCACCTGCCCCTCATGTCTGTGGTGCAGAATGCTGTGGGGGTGGTCACAGAATATTAAGACTTCTCAACCTGGACCTGGCGTTCCTTGTTAAAGCCAGTGTCCTGTTTTCTTGTCCTTGACTATTTGGTGCCTGTGAAAGAAAGCAGGGGCCTAGGGCCACATTGATTGAGAGAGAGAGATTTTGTGTGTGTGTGTGTGTGTGTGTGTGTGTGTGTGTGTGTGTGTTCATTTCTGTGAGTGAACCTTGTAGAGAGTCCTTGATTTAGGGAAAGGCCAGCACCTTAGGAGCCTGAAGGAAGTCAGAAAAGCTTACCTTCCTTCTCTTCTAGGTTTCCAGACAGTCCGAGTTGGCACAGTAGGCACCCCAGTGGGCACCATCACTCTGTCCTGTGCCTACAGAATTAACCTGGCCTTCATGTCTACCAGGTGAGCAGGAGCATCATCCCTTTTCTTGAGCCTCGAGAACCGAGCCTCCGTACCGGCTCTGCTCTTCCTGTGTAATACATCCCCATAGGAAGCTTAGGATCTTTGAAGGAGAGAGACAGAGAGAGTAAAAATGGCCTGCGTGGAGTAGCTCAGGGACCTAGAGCCTGTAGGTCCAGGATCTCCGGTTTGGTGGAGGGTTCATAAAGTTGCCAGGCTAAGGACACTTGTGGACCCTACTAGCTGGTGCCAGGGGCGGGGCCAGGAAGACCCACTAATCATACAATCTGCTTGTTGCCTTGCAGGCAGTTTGAGAGGACCCCACCTATCATGGGGATTGTCATTGACCATTTTGTGGACCGTCCCTACCCCAGCTCCTCGCCCATGCACCCCTGCAACTACAGGTGAGGAAACAAGGGCACTACAAGCCCCTGGCTTGCAAGGCCAGACAGGCCCCTGCCTGCAGCACCCGTGGGTGAGCAGGGGCCTCTGGAGAAGGCCCCACAGCTTCCCTTCTGTCAGCTGGGAGGCGGGTCTCACCGCAGGCACAATTGGCTCTCAGGATACTAAGCTGCCAGGTGCACTTTGGATTGGCTTGGTAGCAAGGGGCTCTGATGAGCAGTTTCCTTGGTCAGAGAGTGGTATTCAGAGGCTTAGCTGGCACTAGCTGGTTCTGCCAGGGGACAGCAAGGTCCCACAGAGTGGAAGGGTTTTTTAGGAATTGGAACAAAGGTGTGTCACCCAAGGCCCTGCTGCTTACGGCTCTGGGTATTTGAGGTTGCTTCGTTGGATATCTCATAGTGACAGCTCACACAGACAAGTTCGCTCTGTCCACTGTCCTTTTGTGGCACTGAGTCCCTCAGGGATAGGAAGGGGTAGGGAGAGACCCTTTCCTTTGAGAGCAGTGGGGTAAGGAAGTAAGCTAAGAGAAAGCCAGGGACAGATGTCTGGACTCCCACTCTCTTCCTCCATTTGTGACGGCTGACATTATTTCGCTTGCCTCCTTAGACACACTCTGACATAGAGGCGTTTCTCGACATTTGTCTTTCCCTTTTTGATGCTGATTCTTTACCTGAAACTTTCCCTTCCTTCCATTCCCACAAACCTACTTGTTTTTGTTTCTGAGGCTGTCCACTGCTGCTATGAAACGTTCTCTTTTCTCTGCCCATAGGACCGCTGGTGAGGATGCTGGGGTAGCATATCCATCTGTCGAGGACTCTCAGGAAGTCTGCACCACCTCTTTCTCAACCTCCCCTCCGTCCCAGGTAGGAGGAAGGGAGAGGTTTGGGGATCCCTTGAGAGCTGACCGAGTGGCTGGGGGGTGGGAGGTGGGGGCTGAGCCATGGGATCACACACCATTTGTCCCTTTGAGGTGAAGCACCAGGATTCCCTGCGGATCCCATGGGCCTCGATGTCAGGGAAGGTCAGGCTCACACCTGGGCCCTACAGCTGGTCCAGGGAGGGCCAGTGTCCTGAGTTGGGGCCATGGTTCCCTGGAGGTTGGGATTAGACAAAAGACACTGATTGACTGGAGACGAACCCCTAGGAACATGGGCCTCGGGCTGCCTGTCTCTGCCTTGTCTGTGGACATTCTTAACCCTACCTGAGATCACTCTGTGGTGTCAGATGCCAAGTCAGTTAAGGCAGGCTCCCTAGGCAGTGTTTTCAGCAGTCTTGATTAGGAAAGCATTTTGCCTGTTTGTGCCCAGGGGCTTAGGTCATCAAGGAACAGCCCCTCCATGGCACCCAACACCACCTAGATCTGCCAGATAGTCTTCCCTGAGTCTTGTTCCTCATCCCCCACCCTCTCATTCCAGAGTGTCTCTGCCTTGCACTTGAGGTGACCTAGCACTCCTGGAGGTTTCTCATCCATTTAGCAGAGTACTCAGTGGAAGGCCAGCCCACATATGCGTAGTGGGTGACATGACACCAGCGGAGCATCCTCATCCCTTTCTCTTTATCTTTTAAGGTAGAAAGGCCAGAATGCTTGGTTCACCTACTGCTTGGGGTTTTCTCCAAAGCAATAAAATGTTTTAAAGCAATTGGCATTTTAAGTAGGACTTGGCAGGAGTATGGCCTAGCTCTGAAAAACTGGTTTGGTGCTCATTGCGTCCCATGCAGAAAGACAAGAGGGCATCTAAGCCTTCCGTAAATTGGATTTAAAGAAGTGAAGCTGTGTGGGCCTATCTCAAGAGGTTTGGCCCTGGTTGTGGCCCTTGAGCCACGCCCTTCCCGGTCCCATTCCAGGCAGAATCAAGAGAGTTGGATTTCTTTGGGAGAGAGGGGTGCTGGCCTCTCCACACAGCTCTGAACCAGCGCGCCGCTTCTTCACTGGAACCCCAGCTCTCACACTGCGGCGGCTTCAGGATGAAAGGTCCTGAGGCCCCTCCTCAGTGAATGCTGTGAGCGCTGAGTAGCTGAAGCTGGGCCAAGAAGAATCCTGGTCCCTCATCGCCCTTGTTGGAATTCTTCAGTCAGTTGATGTTTGTTTGTTTATTAAGTGCCTACTGTTGCCAAACATTGTGCCACGTGCTGGGGTTTCAAAAAAAGAGGGGAAAAGATAGTCCCTGCCCTCAAGGAGCTTACACTCTGTTGGGGAGAGCAAGCTATATCCAGAAGAAATAGGAAATAATTAACAGAGGGAAGGCACTGGCCTTGGGAAAGGCCTTCCTAGAAGGTGAGATTTTAGTTGGGACTTAACCAAAGCTGGGAAGGTCAGTAGTTGGAGCAGAGGAGGGAGAGCAATCCAGGCATGGGGATGGGTGGGATGGAGATGGACAGATAGGAGGAGGCTTAGAATGCCAGAGAGAGCATTTTATATTTGATCCTGGAGGTTAACAGGGGAGGGACATGATTGGACCTGTTCTCTAGGAAAATCACTGGTGGCTGAATGGAGGATAGATTGGACTGGGGAGAAACTTGAGGTCAGCAGAATCCTCACCCCCCCCCCCAGCTATTGGAGTGGTCCAGGCCTGAGGGGACAGTGTCAGAGGAGAGAAGGGGGCGTATGGGAGAGATGCTGCAGAGGTGACATCGACAGGCCTTGGGCGGAGTCCAGTGTGACTCCTGGCCTGTGATTTGGGGGGACTAGGAGGATGGTGTTGGGAAGGTAGTTAGGGGGGAGGGGGAGGTTTTAGGATATCTGCTGGACATCCAGTTTGAGATGTCAGGCAGGTGATCAGCAGAGTGTGAGGTGGTAAAGGTAGATCTGGGAGCTGGTGACATCACCACATGAGGTGGTACAGAGGCAGAAGAAGAGAGGGGCGTAAGAACACCTAAGGTTAGAGGGCTTGGTCTGTTGGAGGATCTGGCAGAGGAGACTTGAGAAAGAGTGGTCTGCTAGGAAGAAGGAGAACCTGGGGGAAGGGGACCCGTGTCCCAAAAACCTCCAGAGGAGGTAGTGTCCAGGAGGAGCAAGACTGAAAGAAGGCCTTAAAATCCCTCTAGCTTGTGTCCACCAAGTGTCTCCTGCAGGACACAGCTAGGATGAATGGCAGTGGAGGATGTGGCTTGGGGACTTCTCCAGTTGAAAATCCCTGTACCTGCCTCTGGTTCTCAGAGGCAGCTCCCCCACGTCCCCTTCTAGCAAGGGCTCCACTCCTCAGCTGGGCTCCTTTTGATAAACGGAAGGAGAATATCTCGTTCGTGTTCCTAGAGCTTGATCGGTGCTCAGTGCTTGCACATGTGTCCGCTTTGGGCTGCAGCCTCAGGAATCCTAGCCATGGGATAGTCAGACGGGCCTTCTCCTCCTCTTCCTCCTCCATGCCCAGCCATCTCAGCTTCTAACAAGTCCTTTCCAGGGCTTAGCTCCTTCACGTCTTTTCTGTTTTCTTTCTTCCTCTCTTGTTTCTTCTGTGTCTGTGTCTAGTGTGTGTTCACGGTTAGTAAGGCACATTTTCAGACCCCTACTCCGGTGGTGACGGATACCCTGAGGGTCCCCATGGCAGGACTGGCCTTTTCCCACCAAGTGAGTCCATAATGGGAAGAGAGGGAATGATTATATGGTACCTTATATTCTCTACCATTCAGTACTCCCCGATGTCCTTTGGGATTTATGGGATTGTTGTTCTGGAATGGGATGTGAGCAGGACCGTGTCAGCCCAAAATAGGACCTTGCATTTGCCCCTCCTTTTTCCATTGATGTGGCAAATAAAAGGAGTTATTAATATCTTGTTTCCAAATACACAATTCGAGGCTGGTAATCTCCTAAAATATAAACAAAAGCTCTTCCACTTTCTGGGTGAGAAGAGGGTTAGATCTGAAAAGATGGGCTTCTGTCACAGAGGCACACCAAGGACAGAAGGAAAAGAGAAGGATTTTGGAGACAGTGACTGATACTAGAGGCTCCAAGAGAGCCCTTCAGCCTGGTTCCCCTTAGCTCTGACCCCTCGGAGTAGACCAGTTCACCCATAAATTCAAGCTTTTTCCAAAAAAAAAAGCCAACCAGCCTCCCACCCCACTGCACTTCTGTACCTTTTCATCTACAAAGAAATGTCCAAACCTGTTGAGTCTTTAGCTCAGGTCCCTCTTCCAGCTCACCTCCCATCCCTCCAGAGGGTGGGCTGGGGTTCTGAACTTCTCTGCTTTCTTTGCGAGTCCTTATTACTGCTCACATTGCTGGACTTGCCCTGTTTTCTTCTCTCTCTCTCCCTCCCTCTCCCTCCTCCCCCCTCCTTCTCCCCCTTCCTTCCCTTTGCCTTCTCTGTTTTTCTCTCGCTTAGCTCGCCAGCTCCCGCCTTTCCTATCAGCCCACTGTTCTGGGAGTTGGATCAGCTGAGCTGGCCCATCCAGTGGTCTTTGCTGCTGGCTCAGGCACTGCCCACCCTCACCAGGTATCGCTGAAGTCAGGACGGAACGACCTTCTCACCATGTGGCCCTGGGGAGGTCCATTAGCCACGCAGGGACGTCATGAGTATTTGAAAGGACTAGGAATTAAAACCTCCAAATGGATTTCTCACCCTAAGGGAGACCCAAGTGACGTTCAACCAGAGATCCTTGGGCCCCAGGTGAGATGAGTCCAAGGGGGGAAAAGGTTTCTCCCGGGTGTGTCGCTCTATCCTTCACCCTGTTGGAGTCACTGACTGTTTTATCTCCAGCAGAGCTAGTCTGGAAGCAGGACTGGAGGTTCCTGTCCCCATGCAGATGTCAATTGCTAGAAGAAAGACTTGACAGTCAAACCAGATGCCCAGTGTAGTAGGACGGGAAGCTGTCCCGTCTGCCATGCTGTAATCACTAATTGGATATTTATCTGTTCTTCTCTGGAGTTAATGGTTCCAGGGAAGGAAGGTGGGGTGCCCCTTGCTCCTAGCCAGCCTGCCTACGGCACCCAGGCCGACCATGAGAAGATGGCAACCTGTACCCCTTCTGATGGTGCCCACTACATAGTCACTCCTTCCAGCAGGTATGGCTCCCCCGACCTCAAGCTCTTCCTGCTTGGGGGCACACATCGCTCAGACGAGAAGGAACTCTGTCTTTTGCTTAATGCTCTCCATATGTTGTGGGCTCCTGACCAGTCCCCTGAGCCCACTGGGGGAGGTAGCCACTCCCTAGCTATGGGTCCACCTGTGGAGAAATAAATGACTGTTTTCTTATTTTATTCCAAGAAACAGGAAACTTTTCCTGGCACATGTCTCCTAACAGATGAAGAATGGGTTTGCAGCAGGCAAACACTCCTCCCTTATCAAACCCTTCCGTTGTGGCTTTCCCAGTACTTTTCTCTTGCCTCGTATTCTTTTTCTTAGTGTCTTTCTGCCTTGGGCTCTTAAAAAGACTAGTTTACTAGAACCCAGGGGCAGGAGGGGAACATGAAGAGTCTTAACCAGACAGCATGAGGCAGAGGCCACTGTAATTGTCTTCAATCCCGGCTCTTGGGAATCAGATCTAGGACCTTGGGCCTTTTCATCCGGACAGCAATGGGTGGTGGTAATTGGGCCGTCCATGGTATCAGGAAAAAACCCATACAGTGCTAATTATACATAGAGAGTAGGAGAGAGAAGAGAAAAACTAACCTGAAAATCGACTTGGCTCTCTAAAAGAAATGCTGTGCACTGTATGGTGAGACTGAGGTGGTTAGCAGCTTGTGTGCCGTCCTCTGGCATGCTTGCCATGGAGTGCTTGGCTGGCCCTTAGTGGCACCTTAACAAGGAGGCAGATGGAGAGGGGGGCACAGGAGTCTGTACTGCAGTTAGTCCAGGCACAGCCAGTTTTATCTTCCTTCCCCAGTGAAGACACCGAAACCGTATCCAACAGCAGTGAAGGCCGTGGGTCCCCTCATGACGTCCTGGAGGCCATCTTGGTTCGGAAAGTGGGAGCGCTCGTCAACAATTCACTGGATCAGGTGATTCTTCCAGCACCGCTCCTCGAGGGAGCTCACTGGCCTTGCAGCCTTCTCCCCAAAGCAGGAAGAGGTTGGCCCAGATTCTAGAGGCAGTCAATGCCCCAGTCCATCTTAGAACGCCATTCCTTCTTTTCGTGGGGATCCAGGTTTCCCCACATTCACTTCCTTGAATCTGCTGCTCTCTGGGTCCCTGTGGAACACAGACTCCTGGATGTAATGTAGAGCAGACCTCCAGCATCTGCTTTGTACAGCACACTGAGCTCAGCACTTGGAGACATAACCGAGTCTAGCTGGGACCCCTCCTGTCTGAGTCTATGAAGGGCAGCCGCAGTCAGCTCATTCTCTGCTCCAGGCATGCAGGGCCCTACGTGGGGAGCTCTTGGGCAGCAGGGATTGCTTCTCTATCTCTGCGACTTTTCCAGGCCCAGGCTCAGTCCATTGGCTTTGTAGAGTAGATGGATGGATGGATCAGGGAATAATGGCTAACCCACTGGGCTCCTGCCTTTACTTCCCTTTGCTGAAGGGCCTGTATGTGTCAGGTGAGAGCTGGCACTGATCCTTTCTTCTTGTACCTTTCCAGGTAACAATGACCAATTTGGACATCCCCTTTGCCATGTTTGCTCCCAAGAACTTTGAGCTAGAGGATAATGATCCCATGGTGAGTTTCCCACTGAGAAAGCTTCCAATAAGACAGAGCAGTCCCCAGGAGTGCATCTCCCTCTCCTGTGGGCTACATTGCCCACCTAGGACGTTTCCTCCTGGATTGTGGTTGCTAACATACGTTGAGTGTAGCCGGCGTGAGGTCCCCAGATTGCTGGAGATGGCCTTTAGCCAGGGCACTACAACAAGGTCTTTGTGGTTCCCCGAGCAGGTGAATCCTCCCGACTCCCCAGACACGGAATCTCCTCTCCAAGGCAGCTTGCACTCTGATGGGTCCAGCGGCGGCAGCAGCGGAAACACGCACGATGACTTTGTCATGGTGGACTTTGTAAGTGGCTGCCGCTCCTTACCTTTTGTCGCCTCATGCCACAACGCTTGTTAAGTGGTTCAAAGGAGCCTCGGCTCTGTTGGCAGGGAAAGTGCCATCATGCACTGAGTAGACAGGACCGGAAGTTTTCCTCACCTCCAGCCTCTGAGGCTGGTCCTCCAATGGGCGCCTGTTGCGCTCTCTGTCCCTGAAGCCTTTGAGCTTGGTGTAGGCTGTCACAGCTGGTGTGTGACTGCCGCAGTGACCTCCATGCCACTGTGAGGCATTGTGAGAAGGCACCACCAGAATACACAGGAATGGGTCCTCCCCCACCATCCAGGGTGAATTCTGGTAGTGAGTGCTGGGACTGGCTCGGGTGCTAGATGCACAGCATCTGAGGAGCTGGGGAGCCCCTCCCACGGCTCCTTCGGTCTCAGCTTCTTGGCCGAGAGCAGGAAAGAAGCATTCTCAGGATGGGTCTTTGGGCTTTTTTCTGTAAGGAAGTAAAAGCAGATCTGTAGAGTATTTGTCCAGTAGCATCAGTTTGGTTCATCTCATGCTAGTGGTGCTAAGGTTAAAAAGAGAAAGGAACTCTCTTTTGAAAGCGAGGGCAGAAGCTTGAGAGGCAGCCTCAAGGGAGAACAATCTTCCGGTGCGCTCTGGAGATGAGTACAAGGAAAGGAAGTTGACTCACACTTTGTGTGTTTCCCGCTGAGCTTCGAAAGAGGCCCTGATGCCTGCTTGTCTCGTTTTTGTTTTTAAGAAGCCAGCCTTCTCAAAAGATGACATTCTGCCCATGGACCTAGGGACCTTCTACCGGGAGTTTCAGAATCCCCCTCAGCTGAGCAGCCTGTCCATTGACATTGGGGCTCAGTCCATGGCCGAAGACCTGGTATGAAAAACCTTACTCCACCCTGATTTCCCGAGAATCAGAACTCTAGAGCTGGGAAAAATCTTCGCATGTCATCGAGCACCATCCCCTCATGTTACAAAGAGAGTTGTGTGACTTACCCAAGGTCACACAGAAAGTCAGTTGCAGATCGTGGCTCCCCATGCCTCATGCTGACAGACAGCCTGACAAGAGTTCTGCCCCCCAAAGAAAGTTAGAGGAGGAGAAGACCCCGTTCCATAGCACAGGCTCGTTTTTTCAAACTTTTTCTCTGTTACCATCATTCTCTGGCTTTCTCGGACACATCTCTCACTTTCCCATGAACTCTCTCACCATTACTTGTTCCTCTCCCCTTTTCCCTAAGACGTAGCTCCTCGCATTTAGCCATTTAAACTCGGAGAAGTCAGCTTTCTAGGCCTCGTTGGCAGATTCCCCCACGGAAAGTATGTCTTGGTGTCCTGAGTAAAAGCAATCCAGCCCTCCCTGGGGGAGGTGGTTTCCTGATGGAGAAGAGGATTCTGAGCACCTCGAGCAGGGTTTCCCAGTGGGAAGCTTTCGTTCTATGCTGGGGTATTTATCAGCTGCCTCAGGGAGTGCCTTAGAGAGCCTGCGGCCAGCCAGCATGGGAACTCTGTCCACGAGGGCAGGTGGCAGCCCCTCCGTGCCTCACTGGGCCCTCTGCAGGAGTTGCTGTGACCTCTTGGTCCAGCCTCTCTGAGCTTCACACACTGGTCCTCAGACAGTCGATGGGCCAGTCCTCCACAGGCAGCGGGGCCTTGCTTGATACCCAGAAAGGGCAGTGAGTGAGTGCAGGGACGGCAGCAGCGTCGGAAGGTTGGCAGAACACTTGGGCTTCGCCCAATGGCGAGGGCAGTGGGAGGATAGCCATGCTAGTGCTGCAGCCAAGCTGTGTGTGACAGTCATATAGGCTGTCCTGGAGCAAGGTCCTGAGTTCAAATTCAGTCTCAAACACCTGACATTTCCTATTTGTGACCCTGGGCAAGTCACTTAACCCCATTGCCTAGTGTGCACACACACCCCCCCCCTCCAAAAAAAAAAAAGGAAAGGTGTCAAACATAACCCTGACCTCTGCCCAGCAGGGCCCTCTCAAGATGCCAGAAGCCTCCCTGGGACCTTTCGTCTCCATCATGACCCTGGCAGTCATAGAATACCCCCCAGGAGGTCAGCTTGGCCCTTCTGCCTCCATGCAGCCTTGCACTTAACGGCCTGTGGGACACATCCAGTTCTCGCCTTGGCGTAGGAATCCAGGCCCATGTTGGGCCCTCCCTGGCAGTAAATCTTTGTTACACTGGAACCCCTTCATAATAAGTCGTCAGTGGAGAGAGGGACCAGCTGGGCAGGATCTTTTTTTCCCCCAATAATAATAGCTTTACATACTTGAAAAACAGCTCATTTGCCCCTTGGCCTCCTCCTCTGGGAAGGAGGCCCAGCTCCTCTTTCCTCTCCTCACAGTTGTATTGTTTAGGACTTTAATCCTTTTTATTAGCATCTTCTCCGGTTTCTCGAGCTCTGAACTCAACTTCATCCTCTTAGGAAAGCCCCCCTCCTGTCCTGGGTATGTTCCGTGTCCTCGCCTTGACCTTGTCGTTGTGCTGCGTCGGTCAGCATGGAGCCTGCTGGAGGCCCCATGTCATCTCTGCCCAGACTCGCAGGCTTTCCCAATTACAGCTTGGAGAATAGACGTTCCCTCCTCTCTTCCCCGTCTCCTCACCATCGGCTTCTTGTCCTGCCCCCTCCCCACCCCCCTGTAGAGTATATTATAACAGTAGTGTATGGAGGAGGGAGGTGCTAGGATGATGGTGCCAACACTCAGGGCTGAGGGCACCCCGCTGTCCGCTGGGCCAGGCAGTCCTGGGGCTTCTGGCCGCACCCACACGATGTAAGCCTTCCTGATCTTCCCACTTCCTTTTCAGGACTCACTCCCAGAAAAACTGGCCGTGCATGAGAAGAACGTGAAAGAGTTTGATGCCTTTGTGGAGACCCTACAGTAAAGTCATCGTCCTCCCCAGGCCCCAGCAGCAGCAGTAGCAGCCCCTTTCTTGGACACCCCTGAGGACAGAGACCATTCCACCTAGCGCTCTTCTCCCTCTCTCTCTGTTATTTATTCAGCTTCAATCCAGGCCAGAGAGTGGAAGGCAGAGGGAAGGGGCTCCCCCACTCCTGCCTTTTGGCTCTTCTCCGCAATCGGACCCAGGGGCCAGCATCGAAGAGGGCCCAGTCCCTGGAGCATTTGAGTTCTGGGTCATAGCCTACCCTAAGAGTCAGGAATAAGCACAGCTGGTGAAAAAGGGAGCTTACCCACCCCAGTGTAGAGCAGAGCAGCTGATCTCAGCCCCTACTGCTTAGCCAGCTGAACACGGCCATCCAGTTTGGCCTGTAGAACTATGGATCTTCCACCCACCATGAACTGAGCAGCCTCTCCCCTTGGTACTGGGGCTCTGTCTAAGGCTGAGGACGCTGAGTATGACTGCCTTACCCCAGTGCCCCAGGAACAAGAAAGGAAAGAGGAAAGTCCAGTCCACCAGCACCACACACAGTGTAGAGGCCCGGAAGGAAGGGGCATTTTACTTTCCCATGCCTCAGTACTCTGCCCACTAGAGAAAAGACCCATGTGTTTGTGGCTGCTCTCTGCTCTGGAAAGGCTGACTGTCCGCAGACTAACGTTTTTGGCCCAATGCAGTCTGTCTCCCTTGTAGTATAAGCGCTTTCATGACACTATGCAAGGCTGCGTTGGACTGCCCTGAATGACTCATCAGGTTCCCTGTCCCCTGCTCCTGACCCATGATTGTAAATAGAAACTCAGCATCCTATTTTGTTAGGGTTGTGCCGTTGGGAGACCAAGATTCTCTTTTCCCTTCCTCTCCTGCTACTGTTGCTGCTATATGCTTATAGATAAGCATCAAATAGTAAATATTTATTGCTTTAAAAGAAATCAGATTATTTTTTAAAATGCATTTGATGTGGGCTGTTTTAACCCAGCTGTGGTTCTGGGAAGGCTGGGTCTTTCCTCTGCCCAGCAGGGCCCTCCTAAGATGCCAGAAGCCTCCCTGGGACCTCTCGTCTCCATCATATGCATTGAGAACAGAGGCCTGGAGATAGCTGCGGCCTCGGGAACACTATCTTCTCCCCACAATTGCTGCATTTCACCTGACCCCCCCACCACCAATTTTTTGCACGTGTGGCGTTCTCCCTGCCCCTTCCAAGAAACTATTTTTTGCTGGCTGGGATTCTGGAATTTTCTTTCTGTTGCCACATTGACTTCATGACAACATGCCAGCCCTTGTGATAAATGGCCACACGTGGCCTCCGCCCTTGAGAGACAAAGCCCTCCTCAGTGCTGTGCCACACCCCAAAGCCCCAGCCCCCCGGTTGCTTCTGGCTGCCTTGGGGGTGTCCCCCAACAGGCCTAGGTATTCCTGGGTGATTAGGACTTGCTCCCTCCTGTCCACCTCTAGAGCCATCCGAAGGGGCCAGAAACTTGAACTTGAAACATGGGTCATTGGGGGGGGGGGGTGTGAACACTTCCACCCCCAGCCTCTCCATCTCTGACTCTAGGAGACAGGACATTGCCCTGTTGCTTGCCAGTTAGATCTGAAGCCAAAGCCAGGCGTGGGGTTGAGCCAACCCTTCTACTTGTCAGCTGCCTCTCACTGCCAGGCCTTACCTGTGTGACATCATCCCCACTTCCACCCCTTCCTGTAGGGATTGTTGCCTTGACCGAGGGCCACTCTCCAAGGTGGATGAAGCTTTCTAGGCCGTGGTGCACATCGGTCCTTAGGAAGCTGCCAAATGGAACAGATCGCCTTCTTGAGTCTTTCATCATCAGCTGCATGTGACAGAAATGCTCTGACCTGCACCTTCTGCTGCCCCCACTTGAGCTAAGCTTTGTGCCCTGTTGATCACCTGGCCGGTGTGAATTTTTGTGCACAATGTCTGCTACTAGGAAGACAGAAGGGACCTCAGCCGTGATGGGAAGGGGACAGCTAACAGGTAGATTTCACTTAGAAACCCGCCCGTCACTAGAGGCCTGGTTTCTTCCAGCCTTGAGGGTACAGTCCAGGGCAGCCTTGACCCTAAACCATCCTTGATCCAGAGGACAAAGGTGAGCACAACCACAGGGTCGACCCAATGGTTTTGGTTCAGTGTGGGACAATCCTAGAAGTACCGGTTCGTGAGTTGGCCAGGCCAAACAGTTTGACCCCGCAGCACCAGGGCTGTATGAGCGGGGAGATAACGTGGACCTTGGAAACATTTTCCCCATCTCTCCAATTCTCCCAGCTCCTGGTTGGTCAGCTCCGTGGACACCACCTCTGACCAACTTCCCCTTGGCCCCTGCATGAAAATGCTGTGGTATCCTAGCCAGGAGCAGTGTCGGTACAAATGCTGCCCTCTGCAGGCAGTAAGTGACCCTTCTCCGTTGCCAGTTTGCTCAGGGCTCCTCAGTGGAGGAAGGAGCTAGGTGCTCCCCACCTCACCAAGACTGGAGTTGAGCATGGCCCATGGCAGGCGGTATGTTCCACACCTAGTCTGTCAGCCTTGCTCAATGCCAAGGGATCTGGGCCCTGGACTGGTTCTTGGGCTCTCTATGTCTTCCTGAGGTCAGTCAGGCTGGTGTCAGCATATCCAGGACAGACCTGGCTGGTGACTGGGTATTCAGATGCTTGGCCTGGAGAGGAGCATCTTCACCCTTTATCTGGTTTGAAAACATTGAGCTGTTACTTTCAAACATATTCTCAAGAAATTTCCAATAAAATTTTTCTGTACACAAAAAAGTCCTTTTCTTCATTCTCCCCTGGCCAAGAAGCTCTCCACTCCTAGAAAGTACCCTGACTGGGACAGACCCAGCCTGTTGTGAGGGGGCAGACAGCTGGTGGCTGAGTTTTGAAGGCGGGTTTAGTGCCCAGTCCTCAAAGGATAGAAACTGCCACAGCAGAAAGCCAGGGTCCCTGGAGTTTATGTCATTGATGTGGGCGTCAGACCACTGTGTCAAAGGATGTCGCGTCAGAGATAAGGGAGCCAGAAGGCCTGAGTTCTGGTTTCTGTCCAGTTGCTGGGTCTAACGTAAGAGCAGTTGCAGAGGCTGGCCTACGTAGCCAGCAGGCGTGAGGGTGGACTTTAGTCCTTGCCCTTCCCAGGGGAAACAAGTCATCCAGCCAGCCCCGAGCAGCTCCTACTTGTGTTTGCCAGGAGAGGGAGGAGCAAAGGGGGAGCTAGAACCCACAGCAAATGGGCTCTTGGGGTCTACATTCCTGACAAGGCAGGGAAGCAGAATCTCTCTCCTAGCTCATTTGTGCCCTTGTGTGCTCCAGCCCCAGAAGGACAGGAAGCCCATCAAAGCTTGCCCACAGAAAGGGGCTGCAGATTGGATGAACCTGGCCCTCTTGGCAGTCTGGCTGTAGTCTACCTCCATGGGCTAATGCCACCAATGCCCCTTCACACAGCCTACAGTCCATGCAAACAGGCCTGCAGAAGCTGCTGCCCTTTGGAATACACTTTGAGAACCTCCAGCTAGCTTCCCTCAAGATTCAGCTCCCCCAAACAGAATGTAGCTCCTTGAGGGTAGAAGCTATTCTTGTGTTTATCGGTTTCCACATTTCCTGGCACACTAGTTAGTTGTATTGAGATCCAGCATCCACTGAAAAACATGGTGGGTAGAGAGGGCACAGGAGAAAGTGAGAAAACCCCCAGCTAGCTCCCTGTGCCAGATGGACATGTTGCCTAGAAGGGGTGTGGCCCGTTCTCCCCACCCTCAGCCCTGCTTACTGAAGAGGTCTCAGGCAACCAGAAAAACAACCAACCCCAGCAGGGTCAGTCCTCATGCCTCACATCTGCCTGGCTTAATAGCTTTGTCTTTCTGCTCAAGAGGAGTAGTTTCATGGGTCACCCCCTTCAGAGGTGCTGAAGCTGCTCAGAAAGGCAGTGAGGGAGAGAAGACTGCCAGGGTCCAGTTGTGCACTAGGCAAACTTTCCAGGGCTCCCCCGCTCTGTTTATAACAACGGCCGTAATAACACTGGTTGATGCCTCCAGCGTCCAGGCTAGGCAAGGAAATGTAAACACAGTGACCAAGGCCACCATTACCTCCTGGTTACAATTCACATCGAAATAGCTAGAACCCAGCCAGGGCTGCCAAATGAAATATTGCAAAATTCTGTCTGCAAAACTAACCCAAGGAAGAGCCCGAGCCTGCAAACTGCAGCTCAGTTCCCCAACAGTGGAGAGGAAAAACTGGTTCCCTCTCTCCTCCCTGGTGACTCCACCCAGGTGTAGACAGCCCAGCTGCTCAGATGGGTGAGGTTTCTATTCCATCCCTTCCCGCAGAAGCCTAGAGAAATGAAATGGCTAATTAGCATAGTAAGAAATAAATTCCTTGTGCCCCCCCTTGCTCTCAATGGACCAACCCCACCAGATTCTGCTAAAGTGAGAGGGAGTTAGGAGTATCCTGACCCACCCTGTGACCTCAGCCAAGTCACTTCCCTTTTCTAGGACTCGGTTTCCTTCACTGTAAAAAGAGAGGACTAGATTAGCTCGCTCTTAATTAAGGATCCCACCCATATGTGGACTAAACCGAGGCAAGGAAGAACAAGGCGAGGGGGGTGCAGATTATGGCCTGGATTCTGCCCCCTTCCCATCCAACCATCCCATCAGCTCTCACCCCGCCTCTGTCTCCTACCCTTCCCTGAACACCAGTCAGCTGGGATATTTTTTGATCTCTATTTTTATTGAAATACAAAAAGTGCAAATGGTGAAATACACGATTGGTGCAGAGGAAGTCGATAAGTGTGAATGTGAACTCATTTCACAGTCGAGCCCTCCCAGAGGCAGACCAGTGGGAAAGGCCGCTAGGAGGAAAGGGACGAGACAGCTCAAAAAACCTCCCCATAAAAGGCAGGGAGTTGGGGGGAGAGGCCGCAGGCAAATGCAGTACACACATGAGGACCGAAAGCAGAAGGGGCAGATAGGGACAGGGGACAGCTTCCAGGGCCTCACTAGTACCTGTAACCTCAAGAGGAAAGAGCTCAGTCAGGCCAGTGCACAGCCTCAGTCCCCCAGACAGTGGGCAGGAAGGGCTGGCTTAATCAGGTCAGAAAAGAGAGCAAGAGGTCAGCAAAGGCCACGAAGATGCTGAGCTCCAGGCAGATCTGCTCCTGCCCAGGGATGTGGGGGCAGAGGAACAAGGAATGGGAGCTCCCCCAGGGCTGAGGGGGGAGGGGACAAAAGAGGAAAAGGGGCAGATCAGCTCTGGACACATACTAGTGGGACAGGTCATAAGGGACATTTTTTAAATGGCATTATAGAAGGTTCTCAAGGACAGCGGGTGGTTGGCTCTAGGCTGCCTGGGTCTGTAGGGCTGCATGGAGTTATCATGGACTCATCTGACAGGAACATACTGAGAAGAGCCCCATGGCCTGCAGGAGCCTGGAGACAGGCCTGAAGGTCCAAAGGCCAATCAATCAAAGCCACCTCTACCCTCAAGGCACAGCTACAAGAGGCCCTTCAAACCCAACCTTCAGGAAGCCCCTAGAACACGGAGCAACAAACGGTGCTCTGATTCCAGTGCCCTGCTCCCAAGGGGCTAACTTGGCAAAAAAAAAAAAAAATGTTAAGGTCCAAGGTGACTGGCACCCCGGGTTTGACACAACAGAGTCCACACAAGCCCTGAGGTTTCAGGAATCTCGTCTAAGGCTGGGAAGGAGTGGATGGAGGCACCTAAGGAACGTGGACAAACCTGTCACTGACCAAACCTCAGGGAGATACTCTACGACTCTGGAGTGGAGGGAGGGGCTTCTGAGTCCCCAGTACCAGAAACCAAGACCATGAAGGGGCTTCCCCTCTTCCAACGCCACCATCCAATCCGGAGTCCTCTGACCGGTCAGCAGACAATGGGAATCTAGGAGGTGGAAAGGGGTGTAGAGCCAGGTGCTACCTGGCAGGGCCAATGTCACTGAAACTGGTCCCCAAACCAAGGGACCCCCACTGTGGGGGGGTATGGCCTTAGCCTGGCCCGGAACGTTTTCTGGGAATCGGGACACTCTCCTGGTCACACTGAACACAAACCATGGAGGCGACAACCGGCCCCAGAGCCACCAGCCCCGTGGGCAGTCATCTGCAGGTACCAGGGCAACAGGGAGGGCAAGGGGAAAACAGCTTGTCAGGGATGCCCCTTTCCCCATCTTGAAAGCCAGATTTCGGCATCAGGGAAACCTCCAGCATCCTGGGCACCATAGAGACAGTGTAGGAGTATAAGGCTGCTGAGAGAAGGAATGTTGAAAAAGAGAGGCCTCTGGAGCCTCAGTGGGGTGGGGGGCCTGGGCGAGGCTGTGGGCGCACAACAGAAGGGTTTCCCTGGCTGGGAACTCTGTACCCATCACAGAGGAGGGCTCTCCCTCCCGAGCACTGGCACCTCTCAGGACCCCGAGGCTTATTCCTGCATGGGGAATCCACTGGGACGAGGCCAAGGGAATGGACGGTGGCTGCCGGAGAAGAGGGGGAGGAGGGGGTGGGATGGAAACGAGGGGCACTCAGGGCCCCTCTGAAGTGGGGAACAGCTCTGCTTGGTGATCCAGCAGGAACTTGGTGAAGGTGTTGATGGGATTGATGGCTTTGAGAGTGATGGCAGCATCCTTAGCCCACAGCAAGTTGGGCCCGAAGACCACAGCCAGGTTAGTGTTGGTCATCTTGTTGTGGTCGCTATGGCCGGAGATCTGGGAAAGGGCCAGGAGAAGAAGGCTGCAGCAGGGAAACACGACCATCGCCTTCCACCCTGCCCCCTCTCGGTGGAGAGCTTCCCAGAAGCCCCCAAACACCCACCAACACACGACCCTACTCGTCTGCACCTCTTTGGGAAGCCAAGCCACTGACCTGGGCCAGGAAGGCTGTTAGGAAGCGCAGCACCTGGTAGTTTTCCTCAGGCAGGGTCTGCAGGACTTGGAGGGTCACTGCCACTCTCTGGTCCTCGTCAATATCTGCAACAGACGGGGCCAGGCCACAGGGGCAGGTGAGGGCCGAGCCATCCCAGCGGCACAGCCAAGGGGATGGGTAGATGGAGAGGGGGAGGGCCAGCTGAGGGAGCCGCTGTGCCAGGGAGACTCTCCATCTTTCCTCTCGCCTGCCCCGGCCTGCCACAGAGGAAAGAGTGAAGTGGACAAACGGTGGGACCGACAGCCAGGGTAAGGCACTCACTGAGGAAGCCCACAACGTGGGGGTAGAGGTCAAAAGTGAGCAACGGCTCAGGCAGCTCCCGAAGGAAGGTTTTCAGGATGACCGCTGGGAGGTGCACATCGTCATACTGCTCAAAGTTTACCGGCAGCCCTGGGGTGACAGGAAGAAGGCGTGAGCCTGGCCTCAGGCCCAGCCTGGCCACCCTGACCCTTTGACACGGGCACCAGGCCTCTTGGGAGAAGCTTCTCACCACCCTCGGGCCCAGGGAGTCACACTAGCCCCCACACTAGCCCCTGGGGGACCTCTTCACTTCCTTCCCCGGCTAGTGTTAATGACAAAGACTCCAGCTAGGGTTTTGAGAGCTTGTCACCAGTTCAAGCCATCCCCAAGTGAAATGGATGGCCTCAGGACACCGTGGATTGTCCATCATGGGAGGTTTGCAGATGGAGCCCAGAACTGGCCGTAGTAATAATGGAGGCAATCCGTGGCAATCCTGGATTTGTAAAGGACTCACAAATGCAGCCCTATTCATGTCTTGGCTGACCCCAAGGGCAGCAGTCTTTGGAGACACCGAACTCACCCTCTCTCTAAGAAGCTGCCCCCATCCATTACAAGTTAGGGATAACCAGAATCCAAGAACGGGTGCTGATCACGGCACCTCCTCAGCACGGGGACACTCCAGGCTGCAGGCTGGGTGCCACCAGGATCATAGGTGTGGGTGGGGAGGTCCAGTGTCACTAACCAGGCCCCCACAAGGAAAGGGCCCTGGCCACCTGCTGGCCCCCTCCCCCCAGTGAGATGGGGGGGCGAGGGGGGGGCGGAGACAGAAGATGCCCAGGCCACACTCACCCATGTTGTACTTCTGCTGCACCTCCCGCACAACCTGAGTGTTGGCTGATCTTCGGAAAATCCCCTCTGTGGTAAGAGCTGGACAGCGAGAGGAGAAAAGTGAGGCCCGAGAAGGGAGCCGGGCCAGCCCCCATCAGCATGGCTCAGCATCTCGGCCGTTCCATGGGACACCGAGGCACCAAAGAAAACGAGGCCAAGGGCCTCGGCCCCAGGGATGCTCGAGGTAGAGAGTGCACTGTGATCCTCTCCACTGCACAGATAAAGAGGCTAAGGCTGAAGTGAGCTGCCCCCCGGCACACGTAAAAAGTCAGAGCCAAGACCTGCAGCCAGGCCTCCTGCCTCAGGAGCCCCATGTCCTTCCTATGAGGCCTATGAGGCAGAAATGGGGTGGAAAAGGCCCAACGGACCTGGTTTGCTGGGGAAGGGCCCTCCACTCACCATGGGCTTGCAGGTAGGCAACAGTCTCTCTGAGGACAAGGGGCAGGTGTTCAGGCTCAGCGCTCTTCTCCTGGAGGCTGCAGGAGAAGGGTGGGTGAGCTGAGCCCCGAGCTGCCCCTTCCGTCGCTGCCCTCCAGCACCCACGGCCCTGCCTGTGTACTCACTGCTGCAACGAGACCCCAAACTGCTGGTTGGGTAGCGGGGGCCGAGGGGGCATGGGCTTGGGAGCTGTGGCCGGGGTTTTCTGGGTGGATTTGAGGAAGTCGTCATACCTGGGCAAGAGGGGTCCGGGTCAGAACAGGCAGGCCACAGCCACCGGCCAGCCCCTGGCCCTCTGCCCCTCCCTTGCCTCCCCAGCCCGGGCATCTCACTTGAGCACTTGGCGGGGGATGCCCAGCTGCTCCAACTTGACGTGCTCACTCAGCTCACTCAGGTAGTTCACATAGAAAATCTTCCTGCCGAACTTGAAGCTGGCAACACAGGAGAAGATGCGTCTCAGGGGCAGGCCTGCGCTCTGCCTGAGTCGCTCGGCTTCCCTGCAGGCCTGCCTCAGGGCGCTCCCTCCCGCCAACCTCACCTAATGAGGGGTCTGAAGAGGATCAGCAGCGTCTTGATGAACATGGTGGGGTGCACAATGTACAGGGCTTTAATGTTCTTCTTGTACCTGGGCAAGGAGGAGGGCGGCAGAGGCCTGAGTCAGAGGGCATAGCGCAGGGACAGGAACAAGCAGGAAAGCATCCAGAAGGGCAGTGCTGCAGGAAGCGACTAAGGAGGTCTACTCTGAGAAGACCTGGGGGTGATGAGAGCCTCGCGGGGACCGGAAGAGGCACCGGTCCGGACCTGCTTGGCCCCAGCGGCAGAACCCACAATTCCCTAGGATGAGCTGGAGCCCCCAGGGCCCCCAAGGCCTTCCTCCCTGAATCCCCACCCCCACTCACTTGCGGTCAAACTCCCGGTAAGCATCCCGGAGCCAGCTGAGGGAGGGCTTATTCTCACTGGTCAGGCCGTGGTGCAGGTACAACAGGGTGTAGTCACTCTCCACATACTGATCCAAGGTGTGCTTCAGGTACCTGCAGAGACACCCCCACCCCGTCACTCCAGCCCCCAGCCCTGCAGGCTTCACCGGGGCCTACACTTAGGGCCAGGAGCTTCCAGTCACTTTACAGAGAAGGAAGCTAAGGCCTAGAGAGAGGAAAAGAGCTGTCCAAGGCCACAGAGGGTCCAAGATGGAATGTGAACCCTGTCTCCTGATTTCAAACCCAGGGCTCTTTTCGCTATACCCAGAGGCCACCAGGGGGCGGTGCAGTGCACAGAGCCCTGGCTCAGGAAGACCTGAGTTCAAATTCCGCCTAAGACTTACTAGACATATGATCTTGAAAAAGTCACTTCATCTGTTTGCCTCAGTTTCCTCATATATAAAATGAGGGGGTCAGACAGGGTGAAATAAAACTCTCAGAGCCGTGAGGGATCAAACGAGATAATAAAGCCTTTAGCACGGTACATGGCACATAGTAGGTACTATATGAATATTATTATTATAATTTTCATTATGATTTCTGTGATGCCTCTTAAAGCCCACCTGACTTGTAATGACTCACCCTTCCTGTTCTCAGCTGTGATTACTGTCTGGGGAGTAGGCTTTGCTTTGTTGCAAGAAAAGATTCAATAAGAGGGTGGAGGGGTAGAGCTAAGGATTAAGAACAAAAGTCAACAATAGAACATAAAAAGAAAGAAGAGAGCGCCCAGCCATGCATGTTCTTTACCCTTGCCTAAGAATGCCTGAGGACAAATGTGTGTGCATCTGTGTGCATGACTTTACTGTCCCAAGAGCAAGGGCCCCAGGACCATGGACCTGAAATCTCTGAGGCCACGGCCCTTATTTTATGAAGAGACTGAGGCCACAGAGGGGAAAGGGGTTGGGTGAGGCCACGCAGCTGATAAGCACCACCCCTGGGTCCTGTGACTCCTAGGGCAAAGCTGTCTCTACCAGCCCCTCCCCCCTCAAGACCCTTGAGTCTTCTGGAGCCAGGTAGAGGACTATGTACCCCTCAAGAGCTCAGGAAGGAAGGAGGAAGGGCTATCTTGTCTCCACAGCACAGCAGAGGGAGGGCCTGAGGCCAGCACACCTAATGGCATCGTGGGATCACAGTCCTCAGAAATGCAAGCAATGCCAAGTGCAGCAAGCCAGTGGAATTCACCCACGCCTATAATGCCCGATCACAGCACACCTACCCAGACTCACCTCAGCTGATACAAAGACAGAGGCCCTGCACTGCACTGCTGTGGCAGGGGAGAACACATCAGGTGGGGAGGGAGGGAGGAAGATGATCTGCTCAGGGGGCAAAGCAATGGTAAATGCGGTCCCTAAGCCTAGGGAGGAGGGTGGGAACTGCCAGGCCTGGGAGCAGCCTGAGCTCAGCCTCAGGCCCAAGCCCAATCTCCTGGGAGCTGGAGCCAGGAAAGAAGCAGTTCTGAGTCTGGGATCCCAGGAACCAGGGGAAGCCAAGTACCCCCAGGCCTAGGCCAGAGAGCTCCAGGGGACAGCAGGAAGCCCAAGGGGGCTGGGAGCTGGAATGCTCCTCCCTCAGCTGAACCAGGGAGTCGTCCCAAAGCCAAGCCCTTTCCTACCCCTTTCCTTGACTTCTTCCCACTGAAGTCCAATGTCTATCGCCTTTGTGATCGAATCAAGAGAGAGGCCAGGAGACTGAGTCAGCTAACAGAGCTGACTAGGCACATCCCTCTTCTCTAAGAAGCGGGGGTTAGGGAGGAAGAGTCTTTGGAAGCCAGATGGAGAGAGCCGAGGCCTGAAAGCTAAGCTTGGACCCTCGTGGCGGTCATGCAGAAAACAGCCCCTCCCGACACTCTCCAGCCATCTCCCCAGGAGACTTCTATCCCAACCACACGGCGGGCAGCATGTGGCCCGTGGGTACTGGGCATTAGCATGTACTCACACCAGATTTATCTGTGCTATGAAAATAAAAGATGGCTATCATAACTGTACCAGGAGAAGTGAAATAAAAGCAAGCACGTCAAGAGAACTACAGAAGTGGAAGGCACTAGTCTGAGTCTCCCAAAATTAAATAACTTTCCTAGGATGAGAAGAATTCATTACGGCAAGCAATCCAGTATCCCCTGGCTCTCCCAGCAACAGGGCAGGCCTCTGGACAGCCAAGGGGCATAGTGGAGTCAGGATAATCCAGCCTCATTCACTTACTAGTTTGTGGCTCCAGGCAAATCACTTAACCTCTGTCTGCCTCAGTTTCCTCAACTGTAAAATGCTGATAAAAATAGCACCAACCTCCCAGAGGTTTTGTGAGGATAAAAGGAGATGATATTTGTAAAGCACTTGGCACAATGCCTGGTACATAGCAGGTGCTTAGTAAATGCTTATTCCCTTTCCCTTGTTCCCTCTTTCCTCCAGGATCCTTTCCCACAGAAGTAGCTCAGAAAGGAACTTGCTGATTGGGAAAAACTGGGAGAAACTCCCACCTCCTCTCCCCTACCCTACTCACTCCAGGAGTTTAACATGATCCAGCTGGTGGCTTGGAGGCATCCTACAGGCACTGAATACGATGATCTTCCGCCCATATTTGTCATCTCCTAGAGATGGAGACAGAGAGGCCAAGTCAGAGAGAAGAACCTGAAAGCCGTCCCCTGGGCCTGGGTGTGCTGAAGGCAGCTCCCAGGGTCTACAAAGCACAGCCACAAAGTACTGGGATTTTAAAAAAAAAAGTTGCGACATTCAATGATCTATCTCATTCAAATAATCATAGTACATGCTTACATGACACCCTCGATTACAAAGCATTTTCCCTAACAACACAATAAAGCAGGCGGTGTGAAAATTGTCACCCCCATGTTACAAAAGGAAAGTGAATCTCAGAAAGGAGAGCCGATTTGCCCAGGACCACACCGTTAAGTTATGGTCGCACATCTGTGGTCGCCGCTCCCGAGAAGGCAAAGGCTGGAGGATCACTTGAGTGTGGGAGTTCTGAGGGGCAGGAGGGCTAAGGCAACACGTGTGGCACAACACGGCAGGCCCCTGAGTGAAGGGCCACCAAGGAAGGATGAACCAAGCCAGGTCAGAAAAGGACAAAGCAGGTTAAAGCTTCTGAGCTGATACATATTGGGGTCAGACCCAAGAGTAGCCATTACACTTCCCGGTTAGGTGGGATGAGACCCCTTCTCAAAAAAAAAAAAAAAGTCAGAGACAGGAATCCGGCTCAGGTAGTCCAGCAAGCCCAACACTCTTTCCACGCATCACGGTTGCTGCCTATGAGCTGTGTGTATCTCAGGAGTCATCATGAGAGGCCACACATAAATCCCTGAAATACTATCACGTGTCTGGACTTGGCTTTGGGAACTGCCCTCAGAACCAGTTGAGAAGCCCTGCAAGGAAATGTGCGTCTCCTTTGTAAGCGTGGGTCACAGGGCGAAAGCTGGAAGACAGCCCGGAGGCTGTCTGTCTAGCCCAACCTCTTCATTTTACAGATGAAGAAACTGAGGCCCGAGGAGATGATTAAGCAACTTGCCCCAGGTCACCGAGAGAGTCTTCTGATGCCAGAGCCAGTTCCACTGGACCACACTGTCTCCAGTTCATGCCCCACATCTGAGTCAGAGGCATTTTGGGGAAGAAAAAAAAAGAAATCCAACCCCACAGGATAAAAGATCTGTGCTCAGCATACAGCAAGTGCTCCAGAACAAGAAAGGATGTATGTGCTACTGGTTGTGAAGGCGGCAGAGGGCATCTGAAGGGGGACTTTTTTGAAGGACAATGTTTATTTTGATGTAAAAGTTCTGTCTGTTTAAAAGTCACTCAGAGTCACAGATGGAATCATCCTGAAGGGAGGCCCTGCTGTGGGGCCTTGGAGCCTCTCAGGGTATATGATGGCATCTACTTAGATGAGATGCTCCTTGCTGTTGAGAATGGGACAGGGATCCCTTCAAGGACTCCAGAGTCCTCACACAACACGGCTGACGGCTGCAGCGCCTATCTGTCAGGGAGAAACACTACTGTCCACTGCCCTCCTCCTATGCTGCCCTCATTCCTGTTCCTTCAGGACAAGTTATAATGAGGATGCCAGGAAACCTCATGCCCATCCCAAAGCAGCCACATGCCTCAGTCTTCTGATGCCAGCGGGAGGAAAGGGAATCAAGAGCTTAGGAGCAGAATCTGGATCCAGTATCCAAAGGTTATTTTAACATAGGCCTCTTCAAAAGGAAAAGATTTTCACCCAGATGCAAATAGTTGCTATAGTCAGACCTCCCAGGCAAGGACAAAAGACACTAGTGTCATCTTCATGAACATAGTATAGGAAGTCGTCTTTATCTGAGGATGATTGGTACTGGAAAATGGCCAACATTCCGAGTAAATAGTGGGAAAATGTTTGATTGGGGTTCTATCTTGAAAAATGGAACATAAAAATGCACTTTTGGTCTTGCATTTAATAAAATTTAGGTTATAGTTGCAACTGTGCACAAATTCTTAGGACAAGGATGGAATCAAATGTTGGGGGAGGGGCATGCCAGAGGGATACAACGCTTCATTTCACAAAGACATCACCATGCAAAACTACTCCAGGTGTCACCAATTTTCCCAGGATCACCCCACCCCTTACTCCTGTGATATTCAGATCTTTCTTTTAAACCCAGAGAGTGAATGATGAAGACTGACAAAGTCCCGGACGCCTGGGTAACAAAAGGCAGGGCCAGACCCTGGTGGTAAACTCTAACAGCCCTCGAGTGGAGCCTCATTTCCCAAGGGATCGATGTATTAGCGACTATTTTCAGGGCGTGATGACTTTGTTTCCTTTTTCAACCTTCTAAAGTGGAGAAGGGAGAGAGCCTTGGAGTCAGACCAAGTGGTCTGAGACAAATCACTGGGGGCTCTTGGCTCTCCGGGCCATCTCTACGACTCTTCGGTAGGACCTCATTTCTTCCAGTGTGCTGAGGAGTGGACATGAGAGTGATACCAATCCCAAGCTGACCCCTGCACTTAGGAGAGGGTGTTACTGTGTTGATTTTTTCAGCAGGCCTGGGCTCTTACGAGCAGTGGGAAGGAGGCAGAGAGGAAGCGTCTGGCCTGTGTGCCATGGAGAGGTGGCTTTTCCAAAGTCACTGGCCCCTGCTTAAATTCCTTTAATCCCTAACAGCCCTCTCCCACTGCCATCGCTTTTAGCGGTTCCCTGAATCAGAATCCACTGAGCTAAGAGAGTTCCTTCTTCTCCCTGCACCCTGGCCCTGGCTCTTCCCCAGAGGACTTCTCCCTAGGCTGTCCTTGACTTCTTCCTCCCACCCGTGCACCACAAGCAGCCTGAGAGGGGCCCCTGAATACACTGTAGAATAATGAAGCCGAGCTGGAGACACAGCAGCCCAAGCGTGACAGTCCTGGCTGTGGAAGGCCCTATTCTATGAGCAGGGAAACACTGAACCTATTAGGCCTGTCCATCTTTACCTCCCTTTCAACTCTAAGCTCCCAGAAGGAAAAGGTTTAAGGGAAAAAAAGAGATCTACTCCAACAGCAGGTGCCCCTAGTCCAGCTACCCTGTATCTCTACCCGGAAGAAGCCAAGATGAACAGAAAAACAGAGCATAAGAGCCCTAAGCTTCTCGGCCCTGTGTGGGTAAACTGAGCCAGGGGCAGGGTGGTTAATCTGTGGAGCCTGGATGTAGGGGGACCACGGAATTGGCTGGAAAAGAGGGAGGTGCTGGGTCTCCCAGTGAAAGAGACGGGACAGGAGCAGCAACTCACAAAAAGGAGACCCCTTCCTGGGCCACTCTTTGGCAGAAGAGGCCAACTCTAGAATAAGCCTGGAAGATCCCCCATGGGCAGCCAGAGCCTGCTGGCCTCAAGAAAGTCCCAGGGAGAACTTCCCCACTCTGGATTTGAGGGGTGAGAAGGAGCAGGAGAAAGGACTGCACTGGGGATGGTCACTGTTTGCTGAAAGCACGTGGGTCATCTGCACAGCAAGGTCTCTGCTGCACTCCCCAGATACCAATCAGCAACTCTCCCCGGGAGGGTCTAGACCAGAAAGTTAATCAGCAACAAAACAGCTCCTGCAGCACGGTGGAAACGGCCACACCCACGACCCTTGCACAGCTGACGAGGAGGAAGGTCCTAGTGGGGAGCTGGAGGAAGCTTTCGTACAGGCCTCCAAGCTCAGGAAAGGAGCAGTGAAGCAGGGGAGGGAATGACCTGGCTTCACACCCTCCTCACTGCCCATCCTCCAGGCCACTATGGACAAACTCAACCTTCTGTTCCCATGGCCCGGGGCCCTCATGACACTAATGATGTCAGTGATGTCTATGCTCCACAGGAGGGATGCCCTGCCCAGGGATGTTCTCTGGAGAGAAGCCTTGGTTCCAGCCCTGATCTGGCTCAGCTTCTGGATTTCCTGGCACAGACACCCTGCAAATCCTGGTGGGGTGAGGACAGAAGCGGGCCAGACACCTCTCTTCTCTGAGATCCATTTTGCTTTAGTTTCTGCTCTGGGTCCCTTCCTGGATCGAGTCATTGGCTGCACCTCATTCCAATGCCACCATCAGCCACCAGGAGAGGGGCTGCAATCCCACCAGCCCCACACAGCCCCCACCAGAGAGCCCCTCCGGATCAACACCACCAGCGCCTGGGAGCCCCAAAGGCCAGAGTGCAGAGCCCAAGGACCCCACCTACCTGGCTGGCCCCCTTCAGGCTCACCACACCCTGGAGAGACAGAAAAATGTTGCAGCACCACTTCTGCATGATCCCTTGGGTGGGGGCAGGGAAGAGAGCAACCATCCCCTGGGTACAAGACCCCTTTCACCTCCCACTGTGCCTAGAAGCTCGACACCACGGCATCCAGGATGATCCCATAAGGACTCGCACAACATCGGACGGAGCTGAAGCCCGAGTCTGGAGGATGCAGACAGGTTCCAGAACCTCCACGAGGCCACCGTATCTCCAGCTGAGACCAGACTGTTGAGTGCTCCAGTCCTTCCCACCAAGACTATGCAAGTCCAGGGGTGAGAACATCTGAGCTAATGTATGCAACCCAGACCCAGACACAAAAGGATTCCACAGAACGTTAATGAAGAGGTGCTGGGGGAGCGGCGGGGGGGGAGGGGAGGCGACCTCTTCATCTTTGCTCCCTCTCCTTCGGTGCCCCTCTTGAGGACCGAGCTCCACTGTCTCCCTCTCCAGGACTCAAGAATCTGGGAGAAATGAGGCCCTGCTCAGTTCCTTTGGGGGCTCTGCTGACCCCCAAGGCACATCATGCTGCCCAGACTCATTCAGTATCACCCCCCCTCAAGGGGCACAGTCTCTTTTGCCCAAAAAGCTGCTCCTGACTGCATAGAAGACTCCAATTTGTTCTCCTGTGAGAGCCCCACCCCAAACAGCTCCCCAACTTTTCCCATCAGTGGCAGATGACTTTGGATTTCTCCTTCCAATGTTCTCTCTCTTCTTTGAGCAATGGCATCCCCAGGGCAAGGGGCCTCTTTGTGACTCCCCCAGTATTTAGCTTAGAGCCGCCATGCACGTTACCAATGTTACCATGCACGTTGCAAGTATCTGTTAATGACTATGTGAAAAGGCTCTTCCAAGAGAAGGGGCAAAGGGGTGATCCTCATCACCATCATACCAGCCACCACAATGGTGGGGAGGAGACCTGAGTGTCGGGGTTCTGGACCATGGGCCTACCTTGAGCCTGGACCTAGCAAGGCTATTATAACTGCCCAGGAATTAGACAGGTGGCACAGAGCTGTCGATACGGTTCAGTGGGAAGGACCCTCGTGGAGCAGGAGGCCTGGTCCCAATCCTGGCTCTGCCCTGGACAATCACTGAGCCCCTGCGGACTTTGCCTTCTTCTTCTATAAAACTAAGGGGTTGGACCAGGGGTGGGGAACCTGCAGCCTGGAGGCCACATATGGCCCTCTAGGTTCTCAAGTGCAGCCCTTTGACTGAATCCAAACTTCAAGAACAAATCTCCTTAATAAAAGGATTTGTTCTGTAAAACTTGGGCTCAGTCAAAAGGCTGCACCCAAGGACCTAGAAGGCCATATGTGGCCTCCAGGCCACAGATTCCCCACCCCTGTTGGACCAAGTGAGCCTTAAGGTTCCTTTCAGCTCCGAGATCTGTGACCCCATGAGCAAAGGCTGAATAGGAGGCAGGTCTCTCAGACCCTCCGAGCCAGCCAGAGAGAGGACTACCATCACTTTCTCCAGAATGAAAAGGTTGCAAAGCTGCACCTCTGGAGAACAAGATCTCCTTTTCCTATATCCCCCTGAGAGGCTGGCCAATGCCAGGGGCCCCAGCCTGACCCTGGAATGCTCACCTGCCACTTCCACAATCTGGTGTCGGGCTATGTCATAGTAAGGGTCGTCCCATTTCAGGTGTGTGACAGGATCCGGGGAGCTGCTCTTGGAGTCATCTGAGAAGCAGGCAGTCATAGCGCATGGTTAGGAAACAATCTGGGGGGCCCCTTCACTCCTGAACATGGCCTTCTGCTAGGGCCCCAGGATCTCCTCCTCTGTTCTCCCACCTTGGGCTCCCTCTGTTCCCCCATTCTTCCACTCCTCCTGCAACCCAGCGTCAGTAAGTGCCTACCGGATTTGGGAAAGTCAGGCATTTCATCAGACGGCCAGTTTTTATCATCAATGGAAGCCAGCTTCAGCTGGTTCAGGGCCTGGTTGGTGTTGTCAAAGGCTAGGTCATCCTGCAGATCGGAGAGAGGATCCATGGCCATGCTGCGCTTGGTCGTGCCCTGCAGAGCCTGGAAGACACCGAAGGGGTCACAGAGCTGGTCAGTGGACAGACTCTTCCCTGCCAACTATAACTTCCACAGCAAGCTTCCCCCTGCTCCCCCGATCTGTGATTCAGGTTGCCTGAAGTTCTGGGTCTCCTTGCCTCCCACAGATTGGGGATCTTGCCAGAGGCGGCAGCTGGGATGCAGGACAGCTCAACTCAGCGCCTCCCTTTGAATCTCCCAGCTGGGTGGGGGAAGGGTTGTGCCAGGCTCTGCACTGCCCACCTCCCAGCTGCCCAGGCTACAGCCTCATCATCGTGGTCTCCAGCTACAAAAGGAGAAAGATGGTCCATTCCCAGCTGACTCTGTTGGGCGGTTGGCTCCCTTTCCAGGAGAGCTAAAGAGCAAAAAAGGCTGTGCAGCCAGCTAGCAAAGCTAGGCTCGCCTCAGGACTGGGCCCTTAACACGCCCAGTGGAAAGGAAATCTTAAAAAGCAGAGGCCGATTGGTGCATGGGCACCTGCCATCTCAGGCCAGGCAGGAACTGCTGTTGGCCTTGCTCGGGTCTTACTCTTCCATCCCTTCCAGAGACTCCAGGCCTACCCTGGCCTCGCGCTCAGTCATTCACTCCAGGAACAAGCAGTTCAAAGCACTTGCCATGTTTCAGGCCTTGTGCTAATAATAGTAAAAGGGGAGGGAAACAAAGGGGCACCCGCTCCCTTTAACCTTCTGGGGGCAAGGACATAAAACGCAGACACAGGAGGGAGCTAACCACTGGGCAAACAAGGAAAGGCCTCCTGGAAAAAGTGGGAGCCCTGGAGCTGAGCCATGAGGGAGAGATAAGGGGGGAATTGTCTTCCAGGAGGCAGGACCTCAGGAGAGGAACATCCAGGGGCCGTGGCTGGGAACTAAGGTGTGGGAAAGGGAGTAATATGTGATAAATTGGAAAAGGGGCAGGGGCCTGATTTTAATGGGCTTTCAAAGCCAAGCAGAAAGATTTGCACCTTTCCTAAAGGCCACCGGGGCCACTGGACCTTCTTAAACAGGGCAGCACCATGGTCAGCTAGCACAGCATCGGACGCAGTTAAGAGTATAATAAAGGTTTTCTGACTGTCTGATGGTCAAAGCTGTGCTTCAGAAATATTAATTTGGTAGCCATGTGGGAGAAAGACTTGAGAAGGGGGAGCCCAGTTAGGTAGTGACAGCAATAGTCCTGGTGAGAGGTGATTTGGACCTAAACTAGGGGGCTGGCCACTCAGCTGGAAAGACTGGGATGGACGTCTATTCTGCCTCCACAAAAGACTCTTTAGAAACTGTTTAGAAATGGCAGGAGGAGGAGGAAAGAGTCAAAGATTCTGCTGGATGCTTCAGAGCCATGTGGCTGCAAGGATGGTGGTGTCCTCACTAGAAACAGGGCAGCCAAGAGGAGCAGTGGGTGTAGAGGAGATCAGATCAATTTTAAGCCTGTTAAGTTCAGGAGAAAAAGTGTAGGGCCCCAGATAGGATCGAGTGACTGAAACCATGTAGGGGATGGACAGGGCTACAGGCAAGGCAGGTAAGTACCCAGAGCTGCCCAAACCCAGCTCTGCCCCTCCAGGACTAGACAAAGTTGGATAAGCAGGCTGGAGGGGAGGTGGCGAAAAAAGAAAGAAGAAACATTCATAGCCCTATGACTTGGGAGAAGAAGATGGAAAAATATTCCCAGGATTAGAGATCTAGGCAAGAGCAAGGCCCAGAACTGGGATTCCTTCAGACTCCCTGGGGCTTGGATTCCAGTCATAGAAAACAGGGCGTGGTAGTGTGTGGTTAGGAGGTGGGTTCTTGGGCCTCTCTACATCCCCACAGAATCCCAGATCAATCTGCTCCCCACTAGAGGTCCCAGGAGCAAGCCTGCTCAGAGCCCAGACACATTCCAAGAGCCCAAACGAGACATATATGGTCAGAGGATCGGTAGGAAAGATAAGGAACTCATTGACAAGGCTCTGATGGGGTGGCAGTGAGGAGGAGGGGAGCAGAACCTGCAAGCTCTGGGCCCAGACCCGAACTCCTCTGGGCCATGAGGTAATGCAACAACTACGCAATGACGGTCCCAGCGAAGGGCTTGGGATGGCAAACTGCCTCCCTGCACCTAGCAACCACCACCCTGTAACCAAGGCAACCACTCTGACTCAATGTTTAAAAGCTGTTCTGAGCTCCACATCAGTTTCCTGGGGAGCTCAGAGCCAGATCTGGGTAGCCCTTCAACCAAAGAAGAAACGCTCCTGCTTGCCCCCAAAAGACTGCTGCTAACCCTAACCTTTCCCACCAACTTGAAATACAATTTCCTTCCCCAAGAGCACTGTTCCTTATAAGGAAAATATCATTTCCCTTCTTAATAATGTATTCTTCCCCCCTCTACTCCCAATCCTCAGCCAAGGATCACCGCCTTATAACTACTGACTTCCCAGGGTGGCTGCGAAGAAGGTGCTTGGCAAACCTTAAGTCCCTGTATGAATATGAATTGCTTTTTTTTTTTTTTTTGAAGGGAGACCATTTTACAAATCATAAATCAGGACACCGTCCAGCTTCACTTTCCTGTCCCAGAGCAGGAAGGTTAATATCAGCCGACCTGGCTTATGCTCCCGGCTACATCAAGGCCGGATTCTGCCCTGCCAGATGAGCCAGCTAACATACATCACTCCCAGCTTGTCTTCTTGGGCCGATGGGATCTTTCCTTTTTGTGTAGTTTGTATAATTATTTTTACTAAGCTCATTGACTTGATTCATTCAGTTACTACCGGCTAAAATGTCACTGGGAAAGTCTTCAGTACCGTACACAGACCATGGCCCTGAAGTCAGAGGCCCACGGTTCGACTGCCAGCAGGGCCTGCCTGGTAGGGCACAGGGGGGAGGAAGGCAGTGCTGCAGGACAGTGCAGACAGCCTGCACTTGGTCTCAGAAGTCCTGGGCCTGACGCCTGGCTTGGTTCCACTTAACCGTGGTATAACCAGCAAGTCATTCCCTGGCTGAATCTCAGTTTCCTTATTGGTGATAAAATTCCCCAAAATTCTAGTGACTCAAAAATGGAAAGGACTGCTCCAGAAAACAGGGGACTCCCTCTGTCCCAAGGTCTTCAAGTGTAGGCTACATGGACAAGACCTCCATGGGGGAAAGGACAACATGATGTCTCTGGGGAAAGCTGGCTTTCAGCCAGATGACTGGATCTGATTCCCAGCTCTGCCATGGGAGAGTCACTTTACCTCCATGGGCCTCAGTTTCCTCACCTGTAAAATGTCAGATTTGGTCTGGAAGCCCTTGTAGTTGTAGCTGTGTGTGACTTCATGACTATTTTTTTTTTCAGCCAAAGACAAGGTTTATTAAAGATCCGCCATATTAGCCAGACTCTTAAGGAATCTGAGCATCTGTGAGGTATTGGCTAGATTGTAAAAATCTGAGCAGTGGCTAGATTCTAAGAATCAGAGCATTTTAATGAAGACAAGATGGACCTTATATACTGAAAGATCATGGGAGGGATCTAGGAGTGGCCAAGTATGAGGTAATAGAACTCCAAGGACCTGGAGGACGTTACGACTACCTGACACTCTAGGACATTTCCTGGATTTATGAGGACAACAGTCTTGACTGTTTGTAATTGGGACCCTCCTGGAAAATCCAGGATGTCTGTTCAATAGAGGCACACCTCACCCCACAATGTGACTCCCCTACTTTCCAAAAATACTGCTACAGAATCAAAAAATGTCAGGAGGGCCATGAAATCACGTGGCCCAAGGCCACCTGATTTCACACCAAATTAGGGGATCTACAAGTTAGCAGGGACATCAGAGGCTCTAAAGCCCAAACCACACCTGTTCAGGAACCTTCCCCATAACACAGGAGCAGAGATGTATAGCTAGAAGGACCTTTGAGATCATCTAGGCCAAAGTCCTCATTTTACAGATGAGGAAACTGAGGCCCAGAGAAGGGAAGGGACTTGCCTGAGGTCACAGGGGTCTGAAAAGGCGGAGCTAGGAATCAGACCCAAGTCTTCGAAACTCCCGGGGTCAGCAGTTCAGCCTTCACTAAGGCCTCTACAGGGCAGTCCACCGGGATCTTCAGATGCTCCAGTTCTTAGGAACTAGAGGGAATTGAAGCTCAGCTGGAGAGCTGTTGTTCAGGGAGGTGATGTCACGACTTACACATGAACTGTTTTAAGCGAGGGAGGGCTGTGCCAAGTCACCAGCCTCACTCTCTCCTCCAGAGCCATCTGGGTCCAAAGGTAAGATACAAATCAGGACAACTGGAGATGGCCGTGGATGCAGCGGGACACCATGGCCTTTTTTTCCATCTGGAGAGAGTGACTCCACCACTAGTCAGTGGAGCCAGCCACACTTCAAACCCAGGACTTCTGACTCCATACCACGACACCACACTGCTTTCCTCGTGCCCTCTCCATGCCATGCAGGCCCTTCCCTGGAGAATTCCACTGCTCACACTTCTGTGTCCCAGGGACACAAGGAGGAAGAGGCACTGGAGAGGGCAGCTGCTAAAGGAGCCGCACGCCAGATGCTCTGCTGACCCCACACTGAACAGCCCCAGATCTGCCAGTGGGCCCACTGGGCCTCTCTCTGGGCCTCAGTTTTACCATGGATGAAATAAAGAGCTACATGAACTCTAAAATATCTGTCCAGCTCTGAACTAAAGGACAGAGAAGCTTGGAGTTCAGGTATGTGCAAGAGAGGAAGGAGGCCAACGTTTGAAAAGAGGACTGAACTTGAAATTTCACCGCCTTTCTGCAACTCCACGGCTTTCACTTCCTGACTGCAGCCCCTTCCTGGCTGACCCCTATCAGCGCCTCTGAAGCTATAGCCAACAAATGCACCCCAATCACAGAAAGCTGCTCCCAAGCTCTCCCATCGAAGAGGTGATGTATCCTACTGGCGCAGGGAATTTCCAGCCTAAGCTGGCTCACAGACCCTGATGTGGAAGGGCTTGGACTCTGTGCAAACCACTTCTCACTCAAAGATTCAAATTCTCCCTCTCTGGAGAAAAAACCACCAATGCAGCTCCTTGGAGTAAAACAAAAGGGCAGAGATATTGTGTGGTGCCACCCCAAAGTGTGCACGGGGATACCTGGCGTGGATCTAAGGCTTTACCCACCCAAGAATGCTCAATAGCTCAACTCTACCAGTCAAGTCAGGAGCCCAGATACAGGCTTAGCCAAGGTAGATCACCCGGACCCTGAAGAGCGTAAGGAAGGAAGTTGTACACACCCTATGGCTTTCAGGGAGCTCACCGTGTGACTGTCCCTACTAGGTCACTCCCACCTATATCTGAAATTGCTGTCTCTTTACTGCTACAAGATAAATGGGGTAGTGCTACTTTGAACTTGAATGTCTCTCACTTCTAGGTGCCAGCTCAGAATTAAAGCACACTGGTGCCTCCTGGATAATTTCCTTTTGACATGCCCCATACCAGGGAAGTCTCCTTTATCTACCATCTGAGATTATGACAGCAAACTCACCTGGGACAATCTACAAAAACCCCAGCCTGGCAGGGCCTATTCCCCCAGGAAGAAAAGAGGGAAGAGAAGGGCTGAAGATAGGTATATGGGCTACGGGCCCAGGAGGAAACCTGACGAAGACTGGATCCTGCTAGGGTAAAAGGTTCCTCCACCCACAGAGACCCAGTCCTGCCCCTACCGAGGCAGCCGAGGCTCTGTCCAACAGCCTTTGAACCCAAATGATGAACACCTGCCCCTAGGTCCTCCCGGTCTCACCCAGCCTCACTTTTGACCAGCTTCTCTAATAAACAGCATTGGATTTGAAGTCAGGGGACCTAGGGATGAACCCTGGCCTTGCTGCTTATGAGCTGTGAGACCCCCACTTCAAGCCCACTTCATTTGAGGGGGGTAGTTCTCAAGTTTTCTTATCTGTAAGATGAGGGAGTCGGGGTACAGCAACCCTAAGGTTCTTTCCACTTCTCGATGCTATGACTTGGAGCCTGGTGATCTGGATTTGACTCCCAGCTCTGATAATTAGTAGCCAAGTAACACCGGCAAAGTCATTTTATACTAAACTATAAATTAAACAAACGTTTATTAAGCACAGGATCAAAGCATACCTATACTTTGGTCTTCAGATGTTTTAGGACACTATTCTGCCCCACTGCTAAATGAGGAAGGATACAGACACTTGCCAAAACTGGGTCGAGTATTTGGGCACCTACTATGTGCAAAGGGCTCCGATGGGGAAGACAGCAAGCATGGCTGTATCTACAGCTGTGTACTCGCCAAGCCCTCTGGAGGAGTTAAACCCCTCGGGGGCGGGGATTATGTCACTTTTCATATTTGTGTTGCCCGTGCTTACTTAACTAATGCTTGTGGAGAGCCGAAATCAACACCAAAGACCAACTCCCCGGTGTTACCGATAACAAAAATAACACCGGACACGTCCATGGCCCTGCAAGAACTGCAGAGCACTTGACATGGTTTATCTCATCTGCACAACGCCCCGCACACAGTAGGACCACAGATCTACGGCGGGAAGGAAGCGCAGAGGCCATGGGGTCCAACCCCCTCGTTTTACAGAGGAAGAAACTGAGGCCCCAGAGCAGTTTAATAAATGCTTATTGATTGAACGAGGTTTACAATCATAACGTCAGGGAGGTGCTATTATATAGCCCCCCCCCCAGGTGAGGAAACTGAGGCTGAGAAAGGGGAAGTGACTCGTCCAGGGTTACGCCTCAAGGGAGGGGAGGGTGGGATTTTACAGATGAGGAAACCGAGGCACTGAGAGGCTAACTGACTTGCCCTGGGCCACACTGACGGAGAGTCCGGAGCTGAGGATTCCTCCTGGCCCCAGCTCCCGCGGACACCCACTGCTTCGTACAGAGGGGGAAACTGAGGCCCGGAGAGGGGGAAGGGGCCATTCGTCCACGCTCTCGGCGCACTGGAGACATCAATCCCCGAGCCTCAGTTTCCCCATTTGTACAACGGTCCCAGCCGGTGGGAAGCTGGGCTGCCCCTCTTCTCGGGGTCGGGGTCCCGATTCCCTCCCCTCCCCCGCGCGGCCCCGGCCCCACTCACCGCCGCTGCCGAAGCTGCCTCTGCCGCCGCCTCCTCCTGTCAAAGCTCCGCCAACATCCGGCTCCGAAGCGGACGCACGGGGGGAGGGAGCTCCGGAGAGAGGACCGCCGCCCCCCCTCGCGGGCACACTCACCCAGACCCACACCCACCCCGGAGCCACCGCCCCGCCACTTCCGCCCCGCCGCGCGCCCACTTCCGGCCTGCTGCCACCAACAAACATGGCCGCTTCCTGGGGCTCCGGGTCGCTGCTTCCGCCTTGTGCCCGCCACTGTCCGTTACCATTACTTCCGGTTCCTCTCCGAGGGAGAGAGGAGGAGAAATAGGGTTCCGCCTTCACTGGGAGGCCCGCGGAGTCCTACGCTCTGTGCGCTTGCGTGTCTCAGAAATAGAGGCTCAAAAAGACAAACGGGCAGCTAGAGCACGGGCCCTGCAGTCAGGAGGACCCGAGTTCAAATTCGACCTCAGACATATGACACTAGCTGTGTCACCCTGAGCAAGTCACTTAACCCCGATTGCCTCGCCAAAAAAAAAAAAGAAAGAAAGAAAGAAATAGAGGCTCGCAGGAGTAACATAAAAAGGGAAAACAGGAAAGAAAAATCATAAGGGGCTTAATAAAGTTAAACTGTTTGCATTTCTACACAGGAAGATACTTGTAACTCCTAAGAACTTTCTCCTTATTAGGACACTTAAAAGGAATACACAGGATGGGATGGTTATCCAAAAAAATAAAATTAAGGGTATAGGGCTTACCCTACAGGAAAGTAGGAGGGGAAGGGGATAATAAGGGGTGTGGGGCTGACAGGGGGAGGTAAAGTCAGAAGCAAAACGCTTGAGAATGGACAGGGTGAAAGGGGAGAGAGAATAGGGTATACAGGGAAAATAGGATGGAGGGAAATACAAAGTAATCGTAACTGTGAAAAAAATTACATCAAGTCTCTCGGATAAAGATCGTATTTCTCAACTATGTAAAGAACTGGGCCAAATTTATAGAAATTAAAGCCATTCCTCAATTGATAAATGGCCTGATAAAAGCTATAGTGATAGGAAAAAATGCTCTAAATCACTATTGATTAGAGAAATGAAAATTAACTCAGCTACCTATCAGGTTGGCTAATTATGACAGAAAAGGAAAATGACAAATGTTGGAGTGGATGTGGGAAAACTGAGACACTAATGCACTGTTGAAGTTAGACACTAACTCAAACATTCTGTAGAGGAATTTGAAATTGTAAAGAGCTATAAAACTATGCATACCCTTTGACCAAGCAATACCACTCCTAGATCTATATCTCAAATAGATTGAAAAAAAAAGAAGAAAAGTCCCTATATGTACAAAAATATTTATAGCAGCTCTTTTGGTGGTGGCAAAGAATTGGAAATTGAGGGGATGTCCATCAATTGGGGAATGACTGAACAAGTTGTGGTATATGATTGTGATGGAATACTATTGTGCTATAAGAAATGAGGAGGGGGGCAGCTAGGTGGCAGCTAGGTGGTGCAGTGGATACAGCACCAGCCCTGAAGTCAGGCGGACCTGAGTTCAAATCCAGCCTCAGACCAAACACTTGACATGTACTAGCTGTGTGACCCTGGGCAAGTCACTTAACCCCAATTGCCTCACTAAAAAAAAAAAAAGAAAGAAATGAGGAGCTGGATACTCTCAGAAAAACCTGGGAAGACTTGAATGGGCTGATGCAAAGTGAGATGGGCAGAACCAGAACCCAGAACATTGTATACAGTAAGAACAATATTGTAAGATGATCAACTGTGAATGATTTGGCAATTCTCAGCAATATAGTGATCCAAGATAGTTCTGAAGGACTTATGATCAAAAATGCTATCCATCTCAAGAGAAAGAACTGACGAAGTCTGAATGCAGATCAAAGCATACTTTTTCTTTCCTTTATTTTTCTTGGCTGGTTTTTTTTTTGTCTGTCTTCTTTCACAATATGACTAACTTGGAAACATGTTTTGCATGACTGTACATGCATAATCTATATAAAACTGCTTGCCTTCTGGGAGGGGAGAAGGTGAAGAGAAGAGAAGAGGGAAAGAATCTGGAAGTCAAAAAAAATTTTAAATGAATGTTAGAATTTGTTTTTTACATGTAATTGGGGAAAAACAAATATTTTTTTAAATTTTTAAAGAAAAAAAGTGTTTCGTTGGTCAGTCAACAAGCATGTATTTGCTATTCACCTGCTATCCCAGGAATAGGGACACCTGGAGGGGCAGTGGATAAAGTCCAGGCCTGGAGTCATGAAGACCCATCTTCCTGAGCTCAATTCTGGCCTCTGACACTTCCTAGCTGGGTGACCCTGGGCAATCACTTAATCCTGTTTGCCTCAGTTTCCTCATCTGTAATATGAGCTGGAGAAGCAAATGGCAAATCACTCCAGTATCTTTGCCAAGAAAACCCCATGGACAGTATGGTCCATGGAGTCATGAAGAGACTGAACCGAACAACTGTATATGTTTATTGAATGAAGGAATGAAAGGATCAAATGAGGCGATATCTGTAAAGCACTTCAAGTGCTATGTAAATACTGGTTACTATTACTGTTATCATCAACGTTATTATGAAGGGGACTCCCAGGTAGCACACTCCCTCCCTCAACAGAGATTGCCACCCGTCTTCCCCAGTGGTCTGAGACTTGCTGGGGGCACTGCATCCTCCCCAGATTCACCAGTTCAAGATGTGTCACTGGCGGTCAGTCAATCAGCATGTATTAACCGCCTTCTGTGTACCAAGAACTGTGCAAAGCGCTGGGGATACGTAAGGAGCCAAAAGATAGTCCCTGCCCTCAAGGAGCTTCCAATCCAACAGGGACGCTTCCTGCTGCCAGGTGCAGAGAATCCTCTTCACTCATGCCTGCTCCCTCGTCTCCTCTGGCGTCAGTTTCCCCTGTTGGTAAATGAAGGAGTTGCACTGAGATTCCAGACGTTCCCAGGACCTCTCTGCACGCCGGCTGCCTCCCACTACAATGATGATCATTCTGTTACGACGACAATCAGCTGGTGGTGCCGTGCGCAGAGCGCCGGGAAACCTGCCAAAGGCAAGCTCAGACGCCCGCTAGCGGTGTGACCCTGGGCAAGTCACCTAACCGCCGCCTGCCTCGGTTTCCCCGGCTGTAAAAGGCGTAGGTGGTGCCGCCGCACCGCCCAGCTTTAGCGCAGCTCTCCAGAAGTCCTGCCGCGTTCCACGCTCAGGCGGAACCCGAGGAGCGGGAGCAAGTTTCCGGGGGTAGCCGAGCGGGCGGCGCTCACTTCCGCCGGCGGCGGAAGCGGGCCTGCTTGGCCGGTGGGGCCCCGCGGCGGCGCCGCGGCGTGCGCGAGCTCGGGGCCGGGGCTCCACCTCGGCCCCCTGGCCGCCGCCCTGGTCCTGGGCCCGTCGGGCGCCGCGCTGCGGCCCGGGCTGCTCTGGGGGCCCCTGGAGGAGCGGGCGGCCGGGCCCGGCGCCTCTCCCTGGCTCATGGGAAGCCTCGCGTTCAAATCCCAGCTGGGCGACCCTCTGCCTGTCAGGGTCCCCCGAACTTGGCCCCCCGACCCGGAGCACGCGCCCCAAGCGGCCGGAGCCCCGTGTCCTGGGGGGCCTGTGCCAGGCGGAGGCAGCGGCTCCTGCGGACAGGGACCCTCCCCTCTCCTCAGTCCGGAGCCGAGGCTCCTCCGGGAAGGGAGGCGGCCTGGCCGGCCTTGCCCCTCCCTCAGTGGACGGAGCGCTTTGGGATCCCCCGCCTGTGGACGTGCCTCACCTTCCCCGTCCGTCCGGTGGGGTGATCGAATAGCACCTCCCTCCCCTGAAGAGGGTCCCGAGGGCTCCGCATCTTCTCTAAACTGAACCCCAAAACCCACAGACCAGACAAGCGAAGGAGACCCGCGTTTAGTGCCTGTTTCTGACCCGCTCTGGGCGAGTCATGCTCTTCTCAGCAACAGGCGCCCGGATACATAAGGGGGTAGAATACCAGCTTCCTGTGGGCAGGGGTTGGTGTGATTTTACTCTTTTGCACCCTTAATTCCCAGTACGGCTTAGGTGTCCAATAAATGAGTAAATTCTGGTGGATTGATTGATTGGTTGCTAGTTGACTCATGAGTAATTTTTTCCATAGCACTCCTTCCTCTAATGGCCTTATCGCTTGATAGCATTTCGTGTAGTTACCTCTGTCTCATTACAATGTCCATAGAACACTCCGTGAGTGCCTGGGGGTGCCGTTTCTAGACTTGTCTTGCTTCTCACACCCGGGACAGTGCTCTGCACAGAGTAGTTGCTCAGTAAATATTGTTAACTAAATGAACACAGACCAGGCACCTGCTCTGAGGGAAGCCAGGTACGGGCTACATAGATGAGACTTTGTCCCAATTCTCTGAAAGCTTCCAGTTTAGTCCAGGACGGGATAAACGTGAAACAGAGGAGTCCTAAAGAGATGCTGCAAAAGACTTGCTGGGGAAGAGATTCTTTCTAGCCAAAGGAACCCCACACAGACTGGGGAAGGGCAAAATGTTCAGATTTTTCAAAAAACAGCAGAAAAGAGAACCTGCAAACTGTCAGTCAATTAATGAACATTTGTAAAGTGCCTACTGTGTGCCAGCTAGGACTCATAAAGCAATTTATATCAGTTAATTGATTTGGTCTTCACAACCAGCCTGGGTGGTAGGCGTTATTATCTTTATTTGCAGACGAGGATACCAGCACAGACTTGCCCAGTTTCATACAGCCAATGAGTGAGTGTCCGAAGCAGGAATTGAAATCAGGTCTTTCTAAGACGAAAACTAAAGAGTCTTTGCCCTCGAGAGTTTACGTTCTACTTTGGGGATACCACATTTGAATCAATAACAATGAATTAATGAATGAAAAATCGGTCACAGTGGGCCAAATGGGCAGGAACGTGGTGCAGTGCATAAGCCTGGTGTCAGGAGGACCCGATTTCCAATGTGGCCTTAGATGCTTCCTACCTGTGTGACCCTGGGCAAGTCACTTAACCCTGTTTGCCTCAGTTTCCTCATCTGTAAAATGAGCTGCAGAAGGAAATGGCAAACCGCTCCAGTATCTTTGCCAAGAAAACTCCAAATGGGGTCAAAAAGAGTCAGATGCAACTGAACAACAAAAATGTGGCAAGTACTATTGTTGTGTTTGTCCTTCGTTAACAAAGAGGCCCAGGAGATCAGGGAGGTGATGCCATGACATGCAAGTGAACTAGATTTAAGCGAGGGAGGGCTGTGCAAAGTCACCAGCCTCATTTTGTCCTCTGGAGCCATCTGGGTCCAGTGGCCAGATATAGATCAGGACGACTGGAGTTGGCCCAGGATGCAGTAAGAGACCTTGGACTTTTCAAGCTAAGGTCTTTAACAGGTCTCATTGACTGAGGCAACATCCATTCAGTGATTCATTAAGGCTTAATTAAAAATGAGACAGAGAATAGCCTCTTTCACCTAATCAAAAAAAAAAAAAAAATCGGATCTGAGAGGGGAAAACCCTCAGGATTTCTAGCCAAAACAGGAACGATTGTTATTTACATTCATTCTGAGCCCATCAGGGCCCAAACAATGACCAAGTAGGGTTTGGCCTGGGACCTATTGTTGGCCAATCAATGAGGGCCAAAATAATTTGGGTTAAGGATGGTCTTTAAGAAAGGAAAAAAAAAGTTTCAGAGATCAAAATATACATTGCCTTTGGGCAGAAAAGAGGAAGGAAGCAAGCAAGCTGTGTTGCCCAACTGCTCAGTTCCACTTTGGTCCCCAGCGGGCAGCTCCTTTTCTACTCACAGAGGTGGTTGGTTGTCCTTCGTTTTCAGAGGCCCACGACATCAGGGAGGTGATGCTATGACATTCATGTGAACTGGATGTAAGTGAGGGAGGGCTGTGCAAGGTCACTGCCTCACTCTAGGAGAGAGCCAAGTACAATGCTAAGCACTGAACATACAAATAGAAAAGTGGAACCATCCCTGGCCTGAGAGAGAGAGAGAGAGAAAGGATGCAGTGAAGAGATTATAAAGGCTGTAGTGCTTAGGGTGTGGCTACAGGGTGGCTGGCAAGGTCCAGGGCTCTGAGCGTCAGGGGACAGGCAGGTGGTCCTCAGTCTTACCAGAAGGAGGCCTAGTTGCTGACTCCTCATTAAAAGTGTGAGTGGTCATTCTGAGGACATCATTTCTCCGTGCCTCAACTTGGTCATCTGTAAAATGGGTGGAGTCACACTTGCCCAGTCTACACCACGGAGTGATTCATTCACTTAGTAAACATGTGTTTGTTTCCTGAGAATGGGATGCGATGCTGTGGGGGCGGTTGTGAAGACCAAATGAGATGGTGAATATATAAGCTTGTAAACTGTGAAACATTATACAAGTTTAAGGTGGTATTATTTTTTTCAGATGTTGTTGAGCCTGTGGAGGGATGTGCATTTATCTGAACAGAGCTCAGGTTGGGCCAGGTGAGTAGGAGTGTGATGGGGAAGTTGGCGAGTCTGCCCCTTACAGCCTGGAACGCAGGCTTTCTGAGGGCAGACACCATACTACTGTGTTTCTTTTCACCATAACATTTAGAAGGGGCTAAGTTCTCAATCAGTAGCAACATCTGAGACATTAGCAGGGAGACTATCTAAGTATGTAGTGCAGGGCTTTGGGGGAATGCGGCTTCATGAGGGCCTCCTAACTGTCCTCGGGCCCTCCTCACAGTTTGGTGCAGCAAGGTCGGTGAGCAAAGGAGGGGTACGTGGCCCGGGTGAGAATGGGTGAGAGGCTTCACCTGCAGGTGTCTCAGACCATCGCCTGGCTTTGAGCTGCTGCTGTGGCCCCAGCCTCCCAGTGCAGCCCCAGGCTGTGCAGAGAAACAGCCACTGGCCATGGGGCCAGCGCCAGGGATTGAAGAGCAAACCAACAAGGTGTCACCTGGAAGGGATGCTACCAAGCCGTGCACAGGTGCGCTTTTGATGGGGACACCCTGGAAGTGGTCCACAGTCCTTATGCCATGGGGGGCCACCCAGAGACTAACTCTTGCCAGTGTGGGCTCCTCTAGGAGGGCCCAGCCCTGATCCCAATAAGAGGCATTGAAGCAGAGGAAAGACAAGGGATGCCAAGGGGCCCCAGAATACACAAAGCACTGGGCCTAGTGTCAGGAGAACCTGAGTGCAAATCTTGCTCAGACACTGCCTAGTAATGGGACCCTGGGCTTGTCACCTAACCTCTACCTGCCTCAATTTCTTTAGATGTAAAATGGAGATAATAACAGGCCCTACCCCCCAGGGCTTGTAAATCTCTTAGCCCAATGCCTGGTACATGGTAGGCACTTAATAAATGCTCATTCCTTTTCCCCTTCCTTAAGATCCAAAGGTGAGTCAGTCCACGTGTCTGAAATTCAGCTTTGTCAGCTGTAAGACCAGGGTCCCAGTCTTTATATCCTCTACCTTAACAGATGGCTATGAGAAAAGTACCATCTAAACTTTAAACGTTTTCTTAAAGAGTATTTTATTTTTTCCCAATTACATGTAAAGACAATTTTTAACATTCATTTATTAAAATTTTTGAGTTCCAAATTTTCTCCCTCTCTCAACTCCCCTCTCCCTAAGAAGGTCAGTAATTAGATATAGGTTATGTATGTGCAATCATGTTTAAAGCTCCTTCTGGGTGTGAGTTGTCACGACCCAAGTGAAGTGTTCCAACATGTTGGGTTAGGAGAAGGCTGTGACTCCCCTGGTATGCCTGGAGCAGCATCTCCCCACCAGTCCATCTCCCAGAGAAGTTGCCTGTCATTGCCTCACCCAGGGAGCCAGGCTGGCTGGGACAAAGTACAATTTCTGGGCAGCTGCCTCATCTTGTTTTGGGCCAACCCTGCTCTCCTCCCCTTCCCTTTCAGTCATCTCTCCCCAGTGGGACCCTGCCATCGAAGGAGCAGCAAAACAGAACCCCCAGTTTGGACCTGAACCCCAGGGAGAGACTCCCATAGGCCCTTGGTCCCCGGAGCCCCAGGAGTACATTGAGGAGGGAGGAGGAGGAGGAGGAGAGTGAAGGAAAAACAGTGCCTCTGTCAGACGGCCCCAGAGAGGGGTTGCAGCTGCCCCGGAGTACCCCGTCTGTAGGTCCGGATAGTCCAAGCCCCAGTGACATGGCCTCCTCACCCATGACTCCTGGTAGGGGCCCATGGCTCAGCCCCCACTTGGCTAACAAATCCTGTAAGCTGTTTGGCCCTGGGCGTTTCCCCAGTGTCAAGAGCTTGTCTCCCCAAGCCCACCAGGGTGGAGAGACAGAGCCTTCAGGCTTCACCAAGCCTCCCAGGGACAGGAGGAGCCCAAAGAGCACTGCCCAGCACCTCTCGAGGCACTACCTTTGTGCGGTGTGCAGCAAGGCCTTCCTGCAGCTCTGCCATCTGAAGAAGCACCGGTTTGTGCATGCTGGGCACAAGCCGTCCCTCTGCACAGAGTGCGGCAAGAGCTACAGCTCTGAAGAGAGCTTCCAGGCCAACATCCTGGGACATCAGGGAGTGCGGCCCTTCCCCTGCCCCCGATGTGACAAGGCCTATGGCACCCGCCGTGACCTATGCCAGCACCAAGTGGTACACTTGGGTGCCCGCCCCTTCACATGTGACCGGTGTGGGAAGGCTCACCCGACGGCCTTCCTTACGGCCCCACCACAAGACGCACCAAGTGCCTGCCCCCACCCCGTGCCCCTGCCCCATCTGCAGATGCCCCCTGGCTAACCGAGGCTCCCTGCAGAACCACATGTGCTTCCACACGGGAGAGAAGCCCTTTCCTGTGCCCCTATTGTGGCCGGGCCTTCCACCAGTATGGTAACCTGTGGAGACACCTGCACCTTCACACTGGCTATAGGCCCGACTGCTGCCCGCACTGCACGGATGCCTTCCCTCAGCTGCCAGAGCTGCGGCAACACCTCATCTCATAGAGGCGAGGCCCTTCTCTGCCTAGTGTGTGGCAAAGCCCTGCGGAATCCCCACACACTCCGAGCCCATGAACACCTGCAGTCTGGTGAAAGGCTCTTTTCCTGCCCACAGTATGGCCAGGCATACACTCTGGCCACCAAGCTGCGACGCCACCTCGAGTCTCATCTGGCAGACAAGCCTTTCCGCTGCCCAACCTGTGGCATGGGCTACACCCTGCTGCAGAGCCTCAAAAGGCACCAGCTCAGCCATCAGACTAAGACCACCAGCAGCTTCGCCTCTGCCCCAGCCAAGCCCGCCAAGCGAAGGGGATGCCTCCCCCACCCCAGCCTCTCTCCCAGCGGATGTCATGGAAGTCACCATTTTAGAGAATGAGGACAGATGCCTTGTGGTTCAGGAAGAGCCAGGCCCCGGACACAACCTGGTCGTCATTCAAGAGAGTGGGGTGGGGTTCAGCACTGTGGCGTAGGTGGTGAAGTGGAGACGAGCCCCTGACATCCCAGCTGGCCCTTCCACAAACTCCCATCTTATATATAAAGGTGTCTGTTTTCTAGCTGCTTGTGTCCAGTGTCTCCCTGGATCCAATTTTTGTTTGTATTTGTCCAACTGGAACCAGAAGGAGAAAGTCAAATGTCCCTCCCTGGGCATGACCTTGGCCAGTCTTGGGAAAGCTCCTGGTCGTCTGTTGGTGGGAGTTGTTATCTGCTCTGAGCCCAGTTATCCCCAGAGGCCCAGTGGGGTGTCAGGTGTCTCAGCACACCTGGCTTGTGAATTGAGCCTCAGATTAGACAGAAGCTTCCCACCTGAGGCTTGTGAGCCAGTCCCTGCCTCACCAGGGAGGCTTGGGAACCTCTGCTGGGAGAATGGAAAAGTGGGAGCAGCATTCGGCCTCTTAGAGGCCAGAGTCAGGAATAGCAGTCATGTGATGTCCTTTTTCAGCTCATCAGATCCCAACTGAATAAACCAGCTGGCTTCAGGCAGTCAGCAAACATTAATTAAGCACCCATTCTGTACCAGGCGTTTAAAGAAAGGCACACATGGCCCCTGGTTTTTGTTATACAAGAACACAGACTGAACAACAGCTTGGTGGAATTGGAGGGAGGAAAGCCTGGGTTCAAATCTTGCCTCCGACACTAGTGGTGTGACCCTGGGCAAGTCACTGATCTCTATGAGCCTTCATTTTCCTTAGCTGCAAAATGGGGCTAATAACCATATTAGGAATAAATGAGATGGTGTATATCAGGTGCCCTATAAATTTTAGCTGTTATTATTGGTGGGACACTATTTTGGAAGAGGCCAGATGTTAATAATAGCTGGTTAATTGAATATCTTGAATGCACTGGCATTTCCTCCAAAAGAACACTGTGGGCTAAATTGTTCCCATTTTATAAATGAGTAAACTGAGGATCCTAATGAGAACTTAGGGGATCAGGGACATAGTGGATAACTTGACTAGAGGCTAATGGGAAGGTCAGACTGTCACAGAGAGTATCAGCCCTGGATCTCATGGAGCCTCAGTTGAGGACAGCAGTATTATACGCCGAGTGTTTGCGTGGGCCTGGCACGCTGTCTTTGGGGAGGGGATTTTAAAAAGTAGGAGACATAGTCCTTCCTCCCAAGAAATTTAGGATCCATTGGTCAAAGAAGCACAAGACAATCGGGGCATATGGGAGAGTTTAACAGGCCCTAAGGCTGACAGGATTGAAAAAACCCTTACTTTGCACTGGCCATCAGTGCTGGGGTGCAGATGCATTCAGTCCGTGCATGGACATCAGCACCTGCTCTGGCTTCCCTCCAACCCACGCCAGGCTGCCTTTCTTCATGTTACTGGTCAGAGGAAAGAAGAAAAGGTGAACAAGGAGGGTAGATGCCAACCGTGACAGCTAGACAGCTAGACTTAGAACTGGAACCAGGCTTTGAGATGATCTCAGCCAACTTCCTCCTTATACAGAGAAGGAAACAGGCTCTGAAAGGGAAGAGGCTTTGCTAAGGGCATGGCACCAGCCAGTTACAGCCAGCTGGAGAGCTTGAGTTTCCCCTTCTGGTTGGGCTTCTTTTCACCAAAGGATGAGGCCACAGGTCCGGGATTTATCGATGGAGACACTTTGAATTCTTTGCTACAGTGAAATTCTTTAAGAGGAAGAGCATTCCTTCCAGTTTGCCCTGAACAGCATTTTGAGGAGACTTATATATTTTGTATAGAGATTATACAAAATTCCAAATTTGAAGGAGAGCAATATTATTCAGTTTAAGATCTGTTAGGTTTAGAATAAAGTCATCGCAGAGTTGTATTTTGTATTAGATATAAAATATAGTACCATGGGACCCAAATCAATATGTACAGAAATTTGTTCTCATTTTTTGGAGTAGAAAGAGCCCTGAATCTGTGGTCAAAAGAGCTGACTTTTAATCAAATAATTAAAAGGGCATGCTGGACAAAGTGGTCTCTCAGCACCCTTTCAGTTCAAATGTTCTATGCTAATAACTTACATTCATTTAGTGATTTAAGATTTGCCAAGCATTTTATATATATTTTCTAAGGGACAGCATGGGATGGTCAGCCCTGGAGTCAGGAAGCTCTGGTTTCACGTCCTGCTGATACATTAACTGTGTGACCATGGACAAGTCATTAGCTTAGTGCCCTCAGCAACCTTCTAAAAGCTATTAAAGATCTCTGTTGATGGAAAAAGGTCCATGCCAATAGGTTCCCAAACAAAGTCAGGTCCAGACCAAAACAAAGAATCCTGTGATGGAGGTAGCATTCACATTTTCATCCTCATTTTACAAAGGAGTGAGCTAAAGCTCAAAAAAATTCTAAGATTATTAGACTTTCGGAGTCAAAAAGGACTTACCTTAAAGACCATTAGTCTAGTGATTTTCACAGTGTGGTCGAGGGATTCTTGGGGGTCTCTGAGACCCTTTCAATGGACCCATGAGGTCAGAACTATTTTCACAGTCATATTAAGATACTTTAATTTTTAATACAATAAATATCAACAGATAAAACCCACATAAAATCTTGGGGGAGGGGGCATCCTCAATTTTTAAGAGTGTTAAAGGGTCCTGAGACCAGAAAGTTTGAGAACAGCTGCTCTAGTCCAACTTCAGTTTACAGAGGAGGAAATTCAGTATCATCAAGGTAAAGTGACTTACCCAAGGTCACACAACCATTAAGTCATGAAATTACACAGGAGGAGAGTTGGAAAGGGCGTTAGTGGCCATCTCATCCAGCCTTTACCCAGAAGGAATCCTTAGTGTTATATAATCATCAACTGGTCATCCAATGTCTGCTTGAAGACCTTAACAAAGGGGAGCTAAGCACCTCTCAAGGCACTCCATTCCATTTTTGGATAGTACTAAACGTAAGCAAGTCTTTCCTGACGCCCTAACTAAATTTGTTCCTTTGCAATGGATGCCTGCCAGTTATCTCTGGTTCTGCCCCCTGGGGCCAAATGGAACCAGCCTAATTTATCCTCCTCCACATGATGGCCCTTCACATACTTAAAACTGTCCAGTCCCCTGTGACTCTTTCCTTTAGGGTAGCACTTCCATTTCCTTCAACCAGCCGATCCTTCCATAACAGATCCAAGGCCCTTCCCCACCTGGGTTGCCCTCCTCTGGACACCTTGTAGCTTGTCGGTGTCTTTCTTTAACTCGGGTGCACAGAACTGAACCCAGTATTCCGGATGAGTCACCTTCATATTCTTGGAAGCCGTGTCTCTCAGCGTGGCCCAGGATCACGTTAGCTTCTTTGGCAACTGCATCACAAACTGTTGACTTTTGTTGACTTTGTAGTCTGCTACAACTCCCAGCTCTTTGTCATAACTGCTGTCTAACCATGCCTCCCTCACATTGATCTATGCCCCATTGTAAGACTTTACAAATTCACCCCAATAACATCATCTGATTAGATTTATCCCGGCCCTCTGCCCTGTAAATATCTTTGGGGATCTTGATTATCATCCAGTGTGTTAATTTTGTGTCATTCGCAAATCTGTTGAACACGGTGTCCGCACCTTTGTTCAAGTCATTGATAAAAACAGTAAATAGCCCAGAGCCAACCATAGATCCCTGGGACATAATGCTGGGTCTTCTACCTCCTCTTGCTTGATTCTCTTTTGTATTACACTATGCTGTCTTCCTAAAATTCCTTCAGCTCTAACTTTCTGTTCTGTATTCTGCAATTGTTTCCAGCTCTTGTGCCTGAATTTAACTGTATCTTTGGATTATAGTATCCCTTGTTTTAGAACATTTGATACATTTGTATATATATGTATATATAATATATATGACACATGCCACATTTATGACTTAACATGCCTAACTGAAGCATTTCAATATTGATATTCTCACTATAAAACCCAAAAATAAAAGTCTATCGCAGCTAATTGGAAGAATGGCTCCCAGATCTTCCTGAAGAGCCAAATAAAAGTCAGTCGAGTTGGTTTCATCATACACCCAGAGACAGTATTAGTTTGCTGGACAATGAATTATCATGCCTTGCAGTGCTCAGGGTGAATATAAAACAAAAAGAATGTCATGGAGATCTCTCTAGCTTTCACACCAATATCTGTTGCAAAGTATAGAGAGAGAGAGGAGAGAAATTTTACACAAACTTCATCAGACCCTCCCAACTAAGTCAACGAGCCTTAGTATGAGAAGACTTCAATGCAAGTGGACCTAGGAAAGATAGGCCAAAAATATGCTGGAAAATATGGTTCTAAAATAAAAAATTAAAGAGGTCAAAGGCTGGTTGACTGTTGGCAAGCATCATACCTGTGTATCATGAATACTTTCCTTAAGAAGTAAGTCAAGAACGTTTAAGAACATTTTTATGGATATAGCGCTGCCTTTGGAGTCAGGAGGCCTCAGACACTTGATGTGTACTAGCTGTGTGACCCTGGGCAAGTCACTAACCCCAACTGCCTCACCAAAAAAAAAAAATTTACCTGTAATTGGGAACTATTTAATGAAATAAATTTTTAAATTAAGTCAAGAGACAGTGGATATAGAAAAGCACCCAACAACAACAACAAAATCGAATCGGTGATGATCTAGGACGTAGTCCTGGTTACTGATGTGGAAGCTGTTAAGGAATCAGTTGTTTGTGTGCCATTGGAAGAACAACTTGTCTAAAAGGTAGAAAAGGTAGAAATTGACTGAATCAGAAGAATAAATATGAGAAGGCCTGACATGTGGTTATAGAAGCTTCATCTGGATCTATCCAAATGCCCTGTTGACACTGAAAATTAGAAGTGAATAAAAGAAAAGACCTTGAAGCAAATTCCCTATGTTTCCTTATAAGAATTTAATTGGTAAAAAATTATCATCTCAATTAAGTGAAGAGTCCAGAGAGTGCCTTATCCAGAAAACGCTTGATATTGCCAAACACAGGCCTATGTTGGTGAGTAAAAATTCACTTGGAAAACTATGGAGAAGAAATGGTGGAAGATTAAGAGCTCTGTTGCCTCATAAAATGGGGGAAGAGAAAAATAAGTCTGCAGAAAAGTTGGCATGAGACCCAACTAAGCCAGATCTTTGCAAGAGTATTTATAGACAGGAATGAGGACAAGAGACAAAAAATAGAGCCTATCTCTTTCAGCATTTCCATGGCAGTATTATTTGGACTCTTTAACCCCTTATTCTCCAGTGTGCCACATGAGTAAGTGACATAGTGCTGAAGTATAGGAAGCCACAGAGAACGCCTGGTGCTGACCATGGACACACAGAAGGAATATATGCTTGTGACAGTACAGTTTTGAAAGCTTTAAGGGATTGATTTTCAAGATATTGGAAAGAGGGGAAAATCCTAAACAAATGGGAGAAGTCACACAGGGTATTACTGGAAAGGAAGGTCAAGACACCATTAATAACCATCCATATTCCTACTTTTGATCTTTGTAAAATCCTTAAGAATGAGCTGTATATATATCAAGATGATCTTAGATGAAAATGGGAAAAGGGAATGGGCAGTCTTTCCTAACAGTTTTCTGCAGTATACTTCTAGTGCCAGCACACAGTAGGCTTGTAAGAAAGGCTTATTTGAATTAAATCTTCACACAAAAAAAATCAAGAAGTGTAGTAAAGACAGGATCCCCTAGTATTAACCATTGATTACAAAAATATTGAACTCTGTGGAACAAAGTGAAGCCTTAACTGGATCTCCTCCACTAAGTTGTGTCCCATGAATATATTAAGAGCATATAAGACTTCTTCATAAATACAAAAAAGCTTTGTTTAATATTTTTCTGGTTATCACTAATAAGCAAGGTATAAATCCAGGGAGATGTATACCATGTACCCAGGCTGCATGCAACTGCCGTGGAGGATATTTATCATAGGATCCAAATGGAAGAGGGATTCCCCATAGGTGAGATTCCCCATTTGGAGGGCTGTCTATGGGTGACATTATGCTGATCATATGGACATACGGATAGATAGATAAATGCATATATATTTGTGTACATATGAATATGTGTATATACATATACAATTCCAGAATACTAGAGCTTCCTCAATGGATACACAAAATGCAAAATATTTTGGATTAACAAAGCACACAGAAAACACTAACTGAATGAAGAATGTCCAGACTGAGAATTGGATAGACAGCCTCTTGAATTATTCCATCTGTGTGTATATTGGGGTGTGTGTGTGTGTGTGCGTGCGCGCACGGGCATGTATGGTTGCTGCTAAGTGGCACAGTGGATAGAGTAGCAGGTCTGGAGTCAGGAAGACTTCCTGAGTTCAAATCTGGCCTTAGATACTTACTAGCTGTGTGACCCTGGGCAAGTCATTTAACCTTGTTTAGCTAAATTTCCTCATCTGTAAAATGAGATGGAGAAGGAAATAGCAAACCACTCTAGTGTCTTTGCCAAGAAAACCCCAAATGAAGTCACGAAGTCAAACAAGACTGAACAACAACAATATTTGTGTATACGTATATAGATAGATAGATATAGATATGTGTGTGTGTATTAGGTGGCACCACAGATAAGACTGTGAGCTGTACTCAGAATTGAATTGGTAGCAAGAGAGTAGGCTAGAATGCCTTTGAGAAGTTAGTCAGCACTTTCAATAATCCCACATGCTCAAAGACAGAGAAAAAAAAAAGTCACCCTAAGACAACTATTTCAGGAAAAGCTGTGGCCATGCTCCACCTCACTCCCAACTCTCCTCAGTAACCTCACACCTGCTGGAGGTTCACATTCTGGAAAAACATTTGCCTGGCCCTGTCAAGGAGACCTTCTCCCTTAGCACTACTCTCCTTTGTCTAGAAATGGCAAACCCCTGATAAGATGAATTTGTCCATTGTTTGTTTGGTTTTTTTTTAGTTTATTTTTGGCCCAGCAAGTGGGGTTAAGTGACTTGCTCAGAGTCACACTGCTAGTGAGTATCATGTGTCTGAGGTCGGATTTGAACTCAGGTCCTCCTGACTCCAGGGCCGGTGTTCTATCCACTGCGCCATCTAGCTGTCCCCCAATCTATCCATTGTTAATGGATAGGTCTTGTCAATCTGTTCCGGCCATCCTTGTATTTCCCCTGGCTGAAGTATCCCTCCAGTATTCTGGTGATGCTACCTAGCTGCAAGCCCTAGAAAGACAGAATCTCCTAAAAGGACAAATGCTGGCTCATCCAAATGGGAAACAGCATGGTTGCTGTAAGTGGGCCATGGTTTATTTCCAGCAATGATACCTACCTACAAGAAATATAAATATTTTCCAGCAGATGTACACTCAGAAAAGAAGATGACCCCATTGTACAGGGTGAATAAGGGATAAAGTCAATGTGAGCCATAGAATGTTAAAAAACCTAGAGGAAAGAGGATGGAATCATCTAGTCTGACCCCTCTCATTTTACAGCTGAAACTTAGAGGTGGAGAGGTGAAGTTAATCGCCTGTCCCCAAGTCACACAGACCCAAGATTTGAACCCAGGATTTCTGACAATCCAGCACCCTTCCCACAACTCCCTGCACTAAACATTCTAGTATTTTATAGGAAGTAACATCTAAGCTCAGCTGCCAGAAGCCTGACTATGGGCCTTGCCCTCCCTCCCCACCCTTCCCTGATCAGATTGGAGTAGCATGGGTTGGCTCAATCAGCGGACACACCTGGTTTCCCCTTCTCTTTCATTCCCCTCCACTGAATCCTTGGCTTCAACCCTAACTTCCCCCTCCCACTGACCTCCCCAGATGGCACATGACCCTAGGCCAGACCCCAGCAGGACAGACCAGGAGAGACAGAAGAGAACTTTTAATTCCCTGTGGACTGCTCTTTGTCCCCAGTCCTCAGGCCCAGGGCTAATATTTACTCTTCCCACCCTCTACCTACAGAAAACAGGAAGTAGGAGAGGGAGGATGGAGGGAAAACAAGGTCTGGACGGCTACCCAGGGAAAAAAGAAATACGCCTCCAGCCACAGGGGGACGGCTGGGGCCCATGTCAGAGCAAAAAGAAGCCTCAAGCCCAGCAGGCCAACGGAACACGGCATTCTGGCCAGCCCCACGCACGGCAATGTGGTGGGCAAAGGACCCAGAATCCGGGGATTCTTTCCACAGGGTAGCCAAGTCACTACTTGGGGCACTCTCTGGCACATGTTGGCTAAGCTTCTGTTTCCTCTATTTCTGTGTCTTCCTTTCCAAAGATGGGCAATTTCATTGCTGATCACAAAGGTCTCCATGAGTCTTGGGGGCCAAAAAATTCACGGCTGTTAATCTTCTGGATGTAAATGGGAATTTTGGGGATAAAACCTTTTTGTTGCCTGTCGTTTGTTAAACGTCTAGGCAAGCCCACCCATTACGTTCCTCTTCCTTCCCCCAGATTATCAAAGCCAACCCAAGTGGAAAATCGTTCTGGGTTTGTAGGCTTAGCCCCTGGCATCAGGTTCTTGTGAGGCTTTTCTGGGCCTCAGTTTCCTCCTCTGTAAGGGCCTTTCTAGTTTTACATCTATGATTCTATGACTCAGCTACTGCCTCTCAGCTGCAGTTCAGCATTTCATGCCCATAGCCCCCCACCTCTCAGCCTAGCAGGGAAAGTGACCTTCCACTGTCATTCCTCTGGAACCCAGATTGGCCATTGCCCTGATCTGAGCTCTGCCGTCTTTCAGTGTTGTTTCATTTCTATTCTCATGGTCAGCACGAATATTCTCCTCTGCTTCACTTCATACAAATCCTCCCATGTTTCACATATAGTAACTTTTTATTTATGACACTTTTCAGTCTTTTATTTCTGGTACCACAGAAAGAATACTAGGTTTGAAGTCAGAAGAGGGGTTCAAATCCATATTCATCATCACCATCAACATGCATTTATTAAATGCTTACTGTTTGCCAGGTACTATGCTAAGCACTGGGAATAAAAAAAAAGGAGCCTTTGCTACTTACTACCTATATAACATTGAACGCATCACTTAACCCCTTCATCTCAGTCTTCTAATGTATAAAATTAGGGCAAAGGACTGGTTCATCTCTGAGGTCCTTTCTAGCCCAAATCCTGTGGTCTCTGACCTCCGAGAGGTAGGCAGCAGAGGCCTTAATAGCCCGGTTTTTCAGACAAGGGAGCAGACAGGCCAGTGACTCTCCCCACGTCCCACAGGCAGTACCCAGGATCAAAAGTCCCTGTCCCTTTACAGTCAAACCTCTGGTCCATTGCTCTCTCTTTGGGCCAAGACAGGAGCCCAACACAGCAGCATCAGTGCCCAGGACGACGTGCCCCCAAGCACATAACTCCTGGGTTTTTCCTAGCCAAGATCAGAAGCCAAAAGTGGGGGTGGGCAGAAGCAGAGGCTGTCCCTCCAGCCATGACCTGCTGACCCCTTCTTTCTGATTTCTTCATGCTGGTTCAACATTAACCCGGAGGGGCCAGATCGGCCAGCCTGTGATCCCTACGTCCACAGCTTCTCCACGGGCACCATGATGGGTGTTCAGGGCCTGACCCTACAAAGCTACCTGACCCTAGGAGTCTTGGTATCTCTTGCTCACTGTGAACATGGTAAGGACCCAAACACTGTAGCCCCTAGAACACTCTTTGGGGTCCGGATGGGGGAATGGGGTCCAAAACACCAAAGAAAGGTGACATAGACACTAGGGAGAGGACCCGCGTAAACACCTCTGATCAAGAGAGACTGGTGGTTTCCATCTGAAGGGAGAAGAGGAAGAAAAGGAACGTGGGCAAAGGGTGGTTTTGTTGGGGAGAGGTGTTAGGGGTCTCTGGGATGGAGGGGGTCAGGTGGTTTGTCTTTGTCACACTCCAGAGACAAGCCGGAGAAAGAGGGGCGAGCCCGGGGACTAAGCCCTGTTCTTTAGCACTGGGTTCTGATCCTGGCTCTGCTACCTACCAGCTGTGGTGTCTTGGTTCAGGTTCCCTCAGCTCTCCAAGATTCCTTGTCCATAAAGCGAGGCCAGGTTACTCCAGATGAGTGGGCAGGCACCTCAGAAAGCTAAATCCTCTGATTCAGACTCTCCTCTTCCTCCCCTCTGACCTCCAATGAGGGCCCTTCCGAGAGGAGGCTTAGGTTTGGGCCTCTCTGGGCTGGCCCTGCCCTGTTGGGGGCTGCAGGCTCACGCCTCCCCTTCCTCACCTCCTATACAGTGTTCCTAGACCAGCAGCAGGCACTGTCTGTGCTCCAGAGGGTCCGGCGGGCCAACAGGGGCCTCCTGGAGGAAATGCGAGCAGGAAACCTAGAGCGGGAGTGTCTGGAGGAACAGTGCAGCTATGAAGAGGCCTTCGAGGCTTTGGAATCCACGGCAGCCACGGTGAGAAGGGACCAGGGGAGCTGCAGGGAGGCCCAAGCAAAGCAGGCCGGGCTGGGGCGTCAGGAAAGGAGGGCTAAAGGCAAGGGGAGAGGGACAGTAGCCTGCAGGTGGTCCCAGCCCTTCAGCACCTGCCTTTATCCTTACAGGATGCATTCTGGACCAAGTACAAATGTGAGTGACATGGGCAGGGGTGGGATGGCAGATGCTTAGCCCAGGACCTTCCTGGTCACAAGCGGGAATCTTTTGACCTCTCATCCATCCCTGGGGACGGCCTTGCCCAGCCACCCTATTCCCTTTCAATCCCAGCCCTGGGCCCACAGCAGATGCCCCAGGTGTCTCAGGTCTTTCTGGGTCTCAGGAGCTTAGGGGGCCAGCTTGTGACCTACCCAAAGCCGATGGAGACTCAGAGGCCCCCTGGCGGCTAGTACCTTATCCCTTGCTCCCATGGACATTTCTGGCTCTTTCCTAGTTTGTGAATCTGTGAGGACAACCTCAAGAGTTATCTTTGATGCCTGCCTAGAAGGTGAGAAGGAGTGGAGCACATCAGAACCATGGGGTGCTGGGCCAGGGGGTGAAATATGGGAGAGGAGAGAGCTGTGCTCAGGGCTTCGCTGGTCGGGGGCAGAGCTTTGTCCAGGGCATAGGGCTGTGCAAGCTGGACAGAGCAGAGAAGCAATCCCACGGCATGGGGCTATGCCAGGAGTTGGGAGGAGAGGTAGGGGAAGAACCGTGTCAATTATATGGGGCTATGATCTGGGGCTGAGATGGTAGCTAGGTGTCCAAGTAGATAGAGCTCTGGGCTTGGAGTCAGGCAGATCTGAGTTCAAATCCAGCCTCAGACATTACCTGTGTGACCCTGGGCAAGTCACTTCATCTCTGTCTGCCTCAGTTTCCTCAACTGCAAAATGGGGATAATAACTGCAGGGTTGTTGGGTGAATCTAATGAGATCATATTTGTAAAGCGCTCTGAAAAACTTAAAACAGTATAGAAATACCAACTGTTATTATTATGAATTTGGTGCAGGGCCCAGGGCCATACACAGGGCAGGGAGCTAGACTAAGGGTGAAGAGGACACAGTAGGGACCAGAGCAGAGCAGGGCTCAGTGACCCTCCCTGGACCTGGTCTGTGGCAGGAAATTGTTCAGAGGGCATCGGGTTCAATTACCGGGGGAACATCTCCATCACCAAGTCTGGGATCCCGTGCCAGCTCTGGAGGAGTCGCTACCCGCACAAGCCAGAGTGAGTCTCCTTCCCATCCCCCAGCTCCCTCCAAATCCCATGGATGGAGAGAGACTGGGCCAGGGATGTCCCCCAGTTGACTCCTGTATCCCAGCCTGGCTCCCCATCCTCTCTCTGGGCTGAGTGCTTTGTTATTTCAGCCTCAACTCCACCACGCACCCTGACGCTGACCTCCGGGAAAATTTCTGCCGAAACCCAGATGGCAGTTCTACCGGACCCTGGTGCTACACCAGTGACCCTACCCTGCGGAGAGAGGAGTGCAGTATCCCCATCTGTGGTGAGCCCAGAAAGAGTGGAGGGGAGCCAAGGAGGAGAGAAGGCCAAGGCAGCTGGGGGAGGGGTGAGAGCAGGAGGTGAGGCCAGAGCAGCTGGAGGGGCAAGAGGAGGAGGAGGGACCAGGGCGGCGGGGGGGGGGTAGGGCAGCCTGAAGCTAGAGCAGATGATCACAGTGCCTCACCCTGAGCGGCCTCAGTTTGCATACTGTGTAGCATCATCAATATAGGGTTCAGAGGGAGGGGAGCCCTTGGAATCCTCTGGTCAGACGCCCTCATCTGGCACATAAGGCACCCGAGGCCCAGAGAGGGCGGCTCCCTGCCCTGTCCAGACCGGCTGGTCCTGGAAGAGAGGCGGAGCCCCCCTGCTCCTCAAGGCTGTTTCCAGGCTCTCCCTCTGCCACTACCACTCAGCATCTTCTCCAAATCCATCCCCCATCTCCGGATCCCAGCAGCTGTTGCTGCCTGGGAGTTCAGTGGCTGGCTCACTGTCTTCCTCACTCCCCCAGCTTCTGCCCTGCTGCCCATGGGGTCTTCAGCATAGGTGTGGACATGCCCTCAAACACACTGACCTCCCGATTTGTCAGTATCCCAGGATGACCCCCTCAGGCACACCCTGGGATGGCCACACCCCACCTAGATCAGGTTCTTTACCTGGGGTCTGTGAACTTTGTAAAAAATGTTTTTATACCGGTACTTCAATGTGATTGGTTTCCTTTGTAATCCCATGTATTTTATCTTATGCATATGCATTTAAAACCACGATTCTGAGATGGGGTCCGTAGGCTTAAGTAGGATAAGGCTGTGCCCTGCATCTTGTCATTACCTACAAATGTCCTCGTTCCAAGACCAAAGCCTGACCCTGATTCCCTTCTCTGGTCACAACCTCCACAAGCTCATCTCTCTCTACGCCGCTCCCACCCCCAGCCCCCCACCCCAGACCTGATCTGGGTCTTCACCAAGTCCTGCAATCCCTCCATTCCTCAGCCCTTTCTCAGGCTAACTCCTTTGCTCTGACTTCACTCTTCTCTCTTCCCAATCTCCACTCCATGCTGTCATCTGCTCTCCCACGCTCCTTATGCTTTGCCAAACCCCAACCCTAGATTAGTGCCACCATCTTCTTCCCATACAGAAAAGAACTGGAGGAATTCCTCCAACCCAAGCTGACCGTCTGCTACGGATAGCAGTGATCCGACTTCAGTTGGGCCCTCCCCGCAGCAAGGCAATCCTGCATATCCCATATTAGTAATCACACTCCTTACAGAGATTTTTTCAAAATTCTCTTACATTGTCTCTCCCCTCCAATCTCCAATACTTCCCAGTATGCTGGCTCCATCACTGCTGCCTACAAACACACCCAGGTCTCCCCCATCCTAAAAAACAAACAAACAAAGATCTTGCCTTCCCATTCATTATCAATAAAATGAAGGCATTGACCTCTGACCTATCTTGGGTGCTTCTCATGGGGTTGGGCACAGAACAGACTCTCAGGAAATTGTCTCTGATGAACTGGTTTCCCAATCTCTCCAGGAAAGGACAACAGCTTCACTGTGCCTCTGACCCCAAGAAGCCCCAACCTGTTGGCAGAAAGGAGCTCACAGCCTTGCATCCCCGATGTGGGACAGAAGTACCAAGGACACCTTGCTGTCAGTGCGTCTGGGGCCCCCTGCCTGCCCTGGGCCTCTGAGCAGCTGAAGTCGCTTCTCAAGGACAACAGTTTCGACCCTGCTGTGTCCCTGGATAAGAACTATTGCCGAAATCCGGATGGTGATGAGGAGGGCCTCTGGTGCTTTGTGGCTGGGAACCCCATTGGTCCAGAATACTGCCAGGCCAGCTACTGCGGTGAGCCGGGGCCTAGGCTGATGCTCCGAGTGGCTCAGGGCGAGCCAAGGCTGTGGGGAGAAGATGGGGCCCCATGGGCATCTTTCTGGAGCCTGGGAGAGGTGGGAAGTGGGGAAAGGGATGGGGAAACTGCAGATAGAGGGCAGCTCAGGGTGAGGAGACTGGCTGAGGGTGGCAGGTGGGGAGGATTCATAGGATTCTAGAACGGCAGAGCCGGAAAGATGGGACTTTAGAACCCAACGTCACATGGGGAGTGAGTGGCCCAGCCAGGTCCTATGACTCCAGATCTCCCACTTTCCACATGGCCATGTCGCTCCCCCGTTCATTCCAAGAGTTCTCCCAGGTGGGTGGGACTCACTTCTTCAGCAATAACCATTGGGCAGCTACTATGTGTGAGCGAGGCCCTGAGTGAGTCACTGGAGGAAATCCAAGACGAGTGAAGTCTCTGCCTTTGTGAACCCTGTGGGAGGGAGGCCAGGGGCCGCGGAGCTCATGGTTTCCCTGCACCGCCTGTCCTGCCCCCAGACAGCCCCATGGATGAGGTGGATGGAGACTTGGAGCCGGAGTCCGAGACCATCGGGGGCCGGACCACAGTTCAGGAGTACCAAGTGTTCTTT